AAGGATCCACATTGATGAGGAGATAGGAACCAAATGTAAAGTTAGTTCACTGTCAGATTTATAATGAGGAAAATCAACTGGACTACATTTTGCAATTTGGAGCTATAAATTCCGGCTCATCTGAAAAAACACTCATGTGCATAGGGAAAATAATGGTACATACGTCGTTTTTAAACCGGACCAGAACTTATAGCTCCTAATTGCAAAATGTAGTCCAATTCAGAGAGGGGAACCATCTTCGCAGTGATGAACATAGTAATTGATTACAAAATCAAGCTACAAGCCAAAAATAAATTAATCGAGTAATATTTCATTTTTAGTTCGATTTTTCAATCAATTATTCGATCGATTAGGCAGTTTAGCCAGCCAAATTTGGCATTAAAATTTATTCGCAATGATGCTTGTGTATTTCTTCCAAACAAAGCAATCATTGAGCGTACCCAGTGTTCACCATAACGCTTATTTTCCTCTCTGTTTATCTCGATCGGTTTTTCTAAATGTTCTCTTTGGGGCTGTTTCACAGGTAGCTGCATTCAAGGATTCTCAGCAAACAACCAGCATGTTCACGTCGATCTGATGATGACGTCAAAACAAGAGTTTGCGTCAAGTAAATCACGACTGGTCCCGGAAACAATGAAATTGATCTACGGAAAAATCGATGACTGAAATGGCGGAGGATCTTTCTTCTTACGCAAGCTTGCCTCAGGGCACTGGCGTTCTAAGTTGACACGAGAACTCCACGTAGCTTTTTATGGATTTTCGGCTCAAACAGACAACGTGAAATCAAAATTGTCATCTCTTAATGGAGAAATTTGACCATTTTACTGTAAAAAATAAAAATTAACTGTTGGCTCTGGATAGAAGTATTTTATGTATGTCGGAGCTGCAATGATTCCCATTCATGACCAAAGTGATAAATTCGAAGTATCTCCAATTGTGACGTCATAACTCTCTGCTCGTTCTTTACCTCTGTAAAAGAAAGCTCAAAAACTTTTTATCTTGAAATTTTATACGAGCGTTCCTCACTCATTAAAATATATTCGCAGAAAATTCCAAGCAAATCTTTCGATTGTATTTCTTTCTTTACCAATGAAATGTAGTCTGGAGTTTTGAGACGTCACAGTGGAAGCTATAGCGTTTAAAATTTCTAACATGAATTAAACACGTTAAGATGATTTGATGGATGCCATATTTTGTGTCAAAACGACATGCGATATTTAGCATCGATTGGTTCCATATTTTCAGCTACTCGTTATTTTTCCTGAATTTTGTGATCGCAATTCTGTTGCCAGGAGACTAAAGGATTCATTAACCGATTTTGACAAACAAATTCAACGTAATATGGGCGTGTTTTCTTTCTTAGGGGAAAACACTCGAATGCGATATTCCCTCTCTAAAAAAACACGCCTTTATTACGTTGAATTTGTTTGTCAAAATTGGTAAGTGACTCCTTTAGTCTCCTGGCAACAGAATTGCGATCTCGAAATTCGAGAAAAATGACAAGTAGCTGAGAAAATGGAACTAATCGATGCGATTTATCGCATGCCATTCTGAAACAAAATATAGCGTCCATCGAATCACCTTAATACGTCAACTCTTTCGAAGTTACACATTTCTTAAACTGACTGGAGCCGCTGTACATTAGAATGCGCAGTTATATGTAAGTATGCATTCCAATTCATAACGAAAGCGGCGCTTGTGGTATTCCTATGGGAAAGAGACGATGTGGACCGCATTAACCCTAGTCTGCCTGAGTGGGGTCAGATTGACCCCACGGGAGTTTCAACACTTTGCCATTTCTCCTGGTATGCCCGAAATTTTTTGTCCTTCACAAATAGCTCTACAAAAACATCTAGGAACACGATTTTGAAGGGGGAAAAAAAATGTTCACGAGAGATCAAAAAATTCACGAGTACCCCTAGAAAGCCTGAGCGGGGTCAGATATCCTTATAACATATATTTTACCATTTAGCATCACAAAAGCTTACTTTGAAGGTGTATTCATTCTTCTCTTTTTAATTTTTTTCAGAAACTTATAAAACAAGCAAATTTTTCAGATTTTTTTCGTTTTCAGTATTTAGTAGCCCTATGATTTTTTTTTCTCATGCTGAGAACAACATGGCAACATGTGTATGATAAAATGGTTGCATACCCTGCACCGTGTTTTTTAAAACTTAGATATGCTTTATGGTTAAGGCCTGTAAAGTTAGTGCACTGATATTAACTAAAAACATGAAAAAAACAAGCAGTAAACTCCAACACAATGTGTTGATAAGGCGCGTCATTAACTCACACATATCAACCCCTTTAGTTTTCATTTACAGAGATTTCAAAATAGGCAAANTCGCATTCTAAGGTTTTTTTAAGAAAAACCAAGTAACGTAGACTCTTGGTATTCAGTACACATAAACTAGAGAGCCCCAGAATGAGAAACAACTTTAAATCATAATTATTGACGGATAAATAAACTTTTTACACGCTTTGAAAAATCTCAGAAGTTCGCGGTAGTCACTTTTCGGTAAGGAACTAAGGGACTCGGTTATTGTATCGAGTGGGGGGTCGAAACGATCGCAAAGGCGGTATACTACGTATACGCGCCAACATAGCTAACTAATTGATTTTCAGCTGGGGTCAAATTGACCCCGCTCAGGCTTTCTCGTTGGTTCAGAGGCTCAGGCAGACTAGGGTTAAACAAAAGGAACCAAGCCGCATCACCTGTCACCAAATTCAACTGGGCAATTTAATTTTTTATACGAAAACGGTTGTGCTGATTGTTTGGCAAATTTCAGTGAATTTTCTGCGCAGTACAAAAATCCTTCAACATTTTCAAAGGAATCCGCACGAACGCGTTCTTTCGTAAAAAATTAAATTGCACAGTTTTTGACAGGAGCTGATGTGGCTTGATTTCTCTCTGCTAGACGCGGCCCACGTATGAAACAATTCCCCACTGTGCTGGTTACACGCTCAAATTCCCATCAATTTCCCATCAAATGGTGACTGGTGCGCACCATTTACCATCAAATTTCTGCGGCCTGCAAAAATTTGATGGTAGATGATGGAACTGTGGGGCCCATCCTTCATCTGATTTCCACACAGCCGTGCTTATGTCATGCTTATTTCAATCAACACTCTGTTTGAATTAATTTTACTCATCAATCTAGATAACTCTCGACCGCCATCTTGGTCATCACTTTGATCGGATTTTGACGGAAATTTGAGCGTGTAACCAGGCCGTAAGACCTGGATACACGGCCTCCGTGCCTCAAATGTCCGTCAATTTCCGATCAAATTGATGATAAAAATGGCGGTCGAGAGTTATCTAAATTGTTATCTAAAAGTAATTAAAACAGCGTGTTGGTGGAAATAAGCATGAAGTAGGCACGGTTGTGTGGAAAACAGATGGCGGATGCGACCCACAGTTCCATCATCTACCATCAAATTTTTGCAGGCCGCAAAAAAATTGATGGTAGATGGTGCGCACCAGTCACCATTTGATCGGAAATTGATGAAAGTTTGAGCGTGTATGCGGGCCTCCAACTTTGAATTCGATCAAATTCGCACGAGTTACGTCCAGGTAATATCACGCAAATATGGCATATGTGTGTCTTGCGTACGGATCCAAAACTTCCGTACACAAAGCGCTGAAGTTCCGTTGTGTCCGTGTGGCGCGAAAGTGTTTTTGACACAGAGTTTCTTTTCAACTCAACACGCTCTCGGTGGGTGGAACCTCTTCCCCTCTGCGCCCTCGGACGATATTCATCGAGGCGTCATTGGGAGGAAAAATTAATGGTCTCGAGATCTTTCTATAAGCGCGTGGTTTTGTTCGCCGAAAAGTTTGCAGTGCAGTATAGTGAGCACAGGGGGTATGCTGATGTTTTTTCATTGAGGTTTTGCAGTTCTCGACTTAAATTGCGGAATTGCATTCAAGATAATTATTTTGAAGTCATTTGTGTGAAGCCATGAAGTTTCGCCTGTGCCAAAGTGCCGACTGGACTAAATTTTGCAACGAGGAACTACTGTTCCCTGAGTAAACCGTGAAAACGCCTATCTGCGAAGGAACATTAGTGGCACATTTGTTGATTCCTGGAGCCGGTCTCGGATAAAAATGCAAAAATTGCATTCGAGATAATTATGTAGAAGTCATTTGGGTAATGCCATGCAGTTTTGCTATTGCCAAGGTGCCAACTGAACTGCATTTTGCAACGAGGAACTACTATTTCTCGAGTTAACCTTGAAAACACCTATCTGTGAGGAGACATAAATGAGACATATGCCATTTCCTACAGGAACCAGTGTTATAGTAATTCAAATGTTGTTTTCCCTCCAATTTTTCAGATAATTTTTTTCACAATTTCACCTAAGGCTCCTGAAAATTTAAAGGGAAAATATGCATAACTTTTCTCGAAAATACATGTTTTATTCGGGGAAATTTGGCAACTCTCGAATGTTCATACGGCGTTCTTCCTTAGCACAAATTTCCTGGTAAACTTGAGAATATTTTCCCTCCAATTTTTCAGATAATTTTTTTAACAATTTCACCTAAGATTCCTGAAAATTTTAAGGACAAATATGCATAACTTTCCTCAAAAATACATGTTTTATTCGGGGAAATTTGGCAATTCTCGAATGTTCATACGGCGTTCTTCCTTAGCACAAATTTCCTGGTAAACTTGTGAATATTTTCCTTCCAATTTTTCAGATAATTTCAAGGAAAAATATGCATAACTTTCCTCAAAAATACATGTTTTATTAGGGGAAATTTGGCAACTCTCGAATGTTCATACGGCGTTCTTCCTTAGCACGGCAGAAGACGACAGAGGACGGAGTCTCCTCTCAGTAAAATAATCAGCACTCAGGCGCTACTAAGCTCATTTGCTCAATCCGCTATTCCTGCAATTACGGTTAACTTCGCTACCGGCAGTATTCCTTTCATTTACGTGTGAAATTCGGCAGCACTGCGGAGCTTTCGGAGGGCGCGAAAGCTGCAGCCTGCGCACGGGACCCCAGCATCCGGGCCGCGGCTCACCGATCACCACCCCGTCGCGCACCGAGCATCGAGACAGCGAGATCGATAACCCAGCCACTCATCTCGAAACGCAGTCCGACACAGTCGCCGGAGACTTAGGCAAAACGCAGTGCACGCCAAACCGATCCGTCTACTCGTACCTATTTTGTACACGCTTTATACTTTTATACGCGCGTCGGGCCTGACGCTGGGCTCGAGAAATGTGCTCGTCTGATTGTGAATGTTCTCGGCGACTTTTGGAGCAGGTTTGATCGGTGAGTTTTGCTTTCGTGAAGGTTTTGGTGTCTCTCGACGCCGAACGCATGAGCGTTGTTTTGGTGGGGTGTTTGCATGTTTGAGGAGCAGCGGTCTGGAAATCACACACAGCTTTCCTGTGTCATGGGTCTCCCATGGTATTTTTTTATGGTACTTCCTTTTTACGTATTTCTCTATTGGTCACATGGTTTTTTTTCTTATGTTTTGTTCTCTGTCCCAGCGAATTAGTCGACAGAAGTTCCGGGAAACTTTATTATATTCTGAGTTCATTAATTTTCGCACGGATGCGTGGCCAAAGGTAAAGGAGTTCAAGGGGTTGCTCCTTCTCTCTTGACCTAAAATCCTTGCCTTTCCCCTAAAAAAATCATTTTCTAAGATTTTTTTTTCGTTTTTTTTTTTACATATCTTCTTTTTTCTAATGGTCTCGATTTATTACGTTTCACTGTCTGTCACATGACGAATAAGGCAAAGTTCGTACACTTTTGCCCGGTTATGATAGGCAAGTTTCTTAGGTCCTCTTCAGATACATAGTCAAGGAGAGAAGGGGTAGTTTATGGAGTCACCACCCCCCCCCCCCGATTCAGAATTCACTAGGAGACAAATCGTTTGTCGCAACTATAAATGTTTATCATACCTTCAAATTTTGCGGATTTTTTTCTTCTCCCGCGCCTTTAATTTTTCATGAAGAGGCGTTAAATAAATTACAAAACACTGAATAAAATCGCCAAACGTCGCGTTGAGTCTCCCTACAAATTACTTGATCATGGTAGTGATAGCTACTTTCTTTGGTTTTTGAAATAGCCGCAAGAATTGCGGTTATACGCAAGACCTGGTTTTTTTGGACCACCAAAAATATTTCATTGTTATGTACTTGGAAAATCATTAGCAAAGAAAATCATTTTTACAGTTTTATTTATTAGAAAAAATAACGATGTATTGCGCAGAATATTTATTACACCAAGCTACATATCATTAAACACTCCTTCCTTATCTGAAAAAAAGAATCATGCCCATACAATACTCATAGAGGATTTCAAGTCCTTTCAACTTTACTGGTCGATTTACGATTTTACTTTTGTGATACTATTTATTTTTTTTCGTTCTATTTTTCCCAGTAAAAATACGGTCTCAGTCAGCGTTGTTGCCGGGACTAAAATAGTTGTTACTAACATAATAACATTGGTAGTACAACTATAAAATTAGGTAGGACCTAGAATTCACAATACACATTGTTGATCCTACGATTTTTTTCGTATTATGCAGGGCTATAACAGGGATAGCAACACATCTATGAAAATTGTAAATGTTAGAAATTTCAAGTGGAAATCGTATCTAGGTATATTTTTTAGAATAAAATGAGCAGAAGAACCAATGCTTTAGTCTAAACCTCAAGTTTAGTCCTACGCACAAAGCAATGCAATGGTGTCTAACACAGCAATGGCTTGACCGTATCCCCACGGTCAAAACAGCTGTGTGAACCACAACAAAATAAGTACCGTGTAAACAAACATCGACAGAAGATTTATACAATATAATCCCAGTTAAACCTCCCATGGTGAATAAAAATAAAAACCCTGAAAATCAATGAACAAAAAGACTAAACTTATTAGATTTTATTATTTCCAAAGTACTGAATCCCCAAAAATTTTAATTCATGTGGGAACAACGATAAGCATAGTAGCTGAAGTAAATAAGCTCGAGTGTCTACTTCTATTCTAACGATAAATATATGATGTCCCCAAAACCATAAAACCTAAAATACCGATTGTTGATATAGCATAAATTATGCCCAATCTCTTAAATACCGCAAGTTTACCACCTTCTCGTTTACCATATACCTTTTTGGGCGCTTCTCGTTATCAAATACACCCTTTCCAGCCGTTGAGACACACTATGTAACATGTACCATGGTACATAGTGTGTCACCTTATGGGAAATAACGTCATTCTGGTACAAACGCCAAAATTTGAATATTTTTCATTTTTTTGTGGTTGTAAAAACTGGTATAAAATTTTGAGTTTTGGATAAAAAATTTATGCACGGACGCATTACCCAGCAACATTATTTTTGGGTTTCGTAATGTTTAAATATTTTATATCGAAAACTTTCTCTTTTTTTACAAAGAGATCAAAGAAGAGGTGGTCTTAAGTCTCCTCTAATTGGATACACGGATTAAACCGAGCTTCCTCCTTATCAAATTATTATTAGACTTAAGCTCGATCTTTGGCCTTTAAGAGAACGATCCGATCATCTATTATCAGTAATTAATAATTTCTCCAAAATTTCTGAGCATCACACGTTAGAGAACATCGGGTACTTTTACAGAAAATTTGACCGAGAGACCCACCTGGAAATAATTGAATCAGTGAGTACGAAAACACATCAACTCGAAATAATGAGAATAATGAAGACACACACGAGACCACACAGCGGGTGAAGAAATTAGTCCAAGAAAAAGATTTTTGGTGCCGAAAGGCAAAAACTTAAAGACACTCTGAAAAAAAAATTCAGTTGATTCTACATTTTGGATGTAAAAAAAGAGTGCAAGCACTCACTAAATGCTGATCTAACTGCTGCAGTAGTTACTTTAGCAATGTCAAGATGTAAAATTAACTGCCGCATCGGGTAATTTAGCAATCTGTAAGTTCTCGCACACTGTTTTTACATCCAGAATGTTAAATTAACTTCCCTTTTTTTCGGTGCACGTTAAAGGTCCAAGTTGGAACAGATGCGCTTATACTTCAATAACCTTCATAAAAATTGACCGTCTTTGATGAAAATTGAGCATTTTCGAGTTACCGAGTTGGTGTGATTTCGTTCTCTCTGATTCAATTCCAATGCATCATCATCATTTTTTTTTTTACTTACTGCATGATAAATCTATTACTAGGGGAGCTGCCAAATCGTGGCGAGAATCCTCCTCTAGCAGAGGGGTTTGCGAATAACGAAGCGAAATCATGTGATCCTCCTCTATCAGAAGGGTTCGCGAACAACGACGAAAAATCATGTGATCCTCCTCTATCAGAAGGGTTCGCGAATAACGACGAAAAATCATGTGATCCTCCTCTACTGGGAGAACGCATCAACCATGGGTTCACCGGCGTGGATCGTGCAATTCTCTCCGTGATGAGCTTGGCTTCATCCATCGGATACACCTTAAATTCCCGGACATTCGGTTTTGGAAACTGGATACCCACGATTGGAATCGTCTCCCCGCCACTGGCTCGTTTGAAATCCCGCTGAAACCTCCTGGCACTAAGCCGCCCCTCCTCGCTTCCGACGGTAAAGAAAAACGCTTCGATCGGGATTCTTGCAACATCGTTCTCGTTCCAGGCGTAAACCAGAATCTCGTTATTCTTGAGGTCGAAAGGCTCGTTCTGCACGAAATTCGAGGCTTTCAGAAAGGTCCTGAACAGGCCTGGAGCTTGCGGCGCGGTCATATCAAAGCCGCACTGGGTGTGGGAGAAATTAAAGCTGACGCGGTGATAATGAGCCAGCCAATCCCTGAACGAGAAGATACCTTGAGCATGGCAATGACCGCTCTCTCCTATAGTGTCCTGCTGACTCTCCCCGCAAGCGTATTTCCCGGTTCGTTCGTCAGAGTGCGCGTCTAGCGGGAAGGCGCAGATGACCCTTGTCTTGGTCTTCGTCCATGGGGTCTTCGATTGCGGGTACCTATGCCAGAACAAGAAAGATTGATTTGAGGTATTACTATCACTGAAAAAATAATATGCTGTCTTAGCATCTAGGATGTAGAAAGTGTGTCTGGTGATCCTAATATGTTGCCTTGATTGCCCACGCAGTTGAATTTGCATTCACAGGATGTAAAATTAACTGCGGGGGCTGTAAAGGCAGCATCTTGGGACCACTAGACACTAGACCACTTTGACAGCCTTGGTGCTAAAACAGCATATTATTTTTTTCGGTGATCGTGACAAGAGAAAGATGAGACACAATAAACCAAATGCAGAGAACAATACAAACACATTAAAATACAGAAACAAATGGGTATACAAGACTGAGGAGACATAAAACAAACCAGGACGTTTCGGGCTAGTCACATGCCCATTCTCAACTGGAAAAAAAGCTAAAAATGTAAAAATTAAATCAAGAAATGAGTTGCATGTTAAACAAGAATTGAGTTGCTTACACATTTTTTCGTTTTAATTTTTACATTTTTAGCTTTTTTTCCAGTTGAGAATGGGCGTATAACTGGCCAGGAACGTTCTGGTTTGTTTCATTTCTCCTTAGCCTCATATGCCAAATTGTTTTTGTACTTTAATGTGTTTTTATTGTTGGTATTACTATCTCAATACAAAATTTAAACGCTTGCTGCCTTCTTTTCGTAAATTCCAAAATTATCGAACAAGTCTCCTAATTTAGTATAATGGCCCCATAGAGTTAAAGTTCCTAAAGCTCGCACTGTCAGCCATTGAAGAATGAAAAAGAATGAAACTGCGCGGACTTCTCATTTTGTTTGAACAAGAAAAATGATTATTCTGCCACGATTATGTCTCACATGGCAAAGGTTATCATTCTAAAATGTCAAATTTAACAGCGTCTGATTTTATGATGCCCCCTGAAGAAAGTGTGAAAAAACTCTTCCTCCCGAGCAAAGGTGGAAATAGGAGATAACCAAGGGTTCCACTCTTCCTCCTAGAAGTTTGCTCCACCCATCTTAGAAAACTGCTACAGCTTCCCAAAAATTTGAGAGGTTTTTCTAATTAAGTGCGTAACATATATCTTTCATCTTTGAAATGAATAAATTCGATCAATTTTCCAGTGAAGAGCTCAACATTTTTTCCGAGATTTTTCAATTGTTTTAAAATTTTACTGGAAGACCCCCTTAACGGATTAGGCTGGTTCCGAAGCAGAAAAGTACACTAAGAAAAAAGTCTCTTGGATCCAGAGCCCATAGACTTCTAAAAAATTTGACACGAAAAACACTCACGATTCAATCGGATTTCTGCTTGAATCAAAATGAAATCAGCTGAAATCAAGCTTGACTAAACTTAAAATGGACGCATTTATGCGAAATAGAACTATGTGCAAGTGGAAAAATGGGGTGTGCTCGTTAGTGCTTGGGCCATAAGAACGAATGGGACTTTTAAAGCGCCGGTGACGTCAGCGGTGAGGATCGGGTACATGGCGCGACACGAGCGACGACGACTAGGTCTCGTCGGTTTTTAACTCATGAGCCCTGTCCACAACGCTCTTGTCACATATCCACGGCTCACGAGTTAGTGCTCAGTTCTTTTTGATGTAATGTCAAATCCCGCTTTTACATTTTCTCAAAAGGAACTATATCCTTTTTTACATAGTTTCTTATCCAGCTTCCACGAGCACACTCCATCTTTCCACTTCCACATAGTTCCTTTTAGCATAAATACGTCCAAATGAGCTTGGCTCCCGGTTCCAGGAAAAATCCTATTGAATCAAGAGTATTTTTTCTCGTCAATTTTCTCATAAGCCCAGATCCTGGATCCAAGAGACTTTTTTTCGAGTCTTCATTTCAATAACATCGACAAACTCATCAAGTAATAGCCTGGTTACACGCTCAAATTTCCGTCAAATTCCGATCAAAACGATGACCAAGATGGCGGTCGAGAGTTATCTAGATTGACGAGTAAAATTAATTCAAACAGCGTGTTGATTGAAATAAGCATGAAATAAGCACGGTTATATGGAAATCAGATGAAGGATGAGCCCCACAGCTCCATCATCTACCATCGAATGTTTGCAGGCCGCAGAAATTTGATGGTAGATGGTGCGCACCAGTCACCATTTGATCGGAAATTGGTGGAAATTTGAGCGTGTAACCAGCACATAATAAAATGCGGAGTTCCTACATGATGAATCCACTGACGTAGCCGTAGGGGAACCCAGCCCACTGCGCGTCTCGACGTAGATACCCCATGCAGACGGACATCGTCTCCCGGCTGTACTTGCTCAAGGTCCAAGCGTACGGGTTGCGATCGCTGCTGACGCCGCGAATCAAAATGCCGGAACACTCGTACGCCGGACTCTCGCCCCTCGGGCCTTCGCAACCCCCGACCTCATTGTTGAAGCGCTCGTTCAGCTCATCTGCCTTCCGCTTCGAAGCAGCTACATCGGAGGCAGAACCCGTAGGAGGGGCTGAATCTGTTTCACCAGAGTCTCCTTCCGTCGAGAAGGGAGTAGGTGTCCTGAATCTTGCCGAGGGGGTCCTCGGAGGTGAACCTGACTCACTTGAGTCTGCTTCTGTTGAGAAGGGTGTGGGTGTCTTGAATCTTGGCGAGGGAGTCCTTGGAGGTGGGGAACTTCTCCATGGGTGACTATCCTCTGGTGAGGAGTTACTCCACGTTGCACGCCGTGGTGGTGAGGAGTCACCCCTCTGTGAGCCACTCCATGGTCCGGAGGTTCTCCACAGTGGGAGATCGCTCAATGGTGAGGGATTCCTCGATGGCGAGGGGCTCTTCCATAGTGGGAGATCGCCTAATGGCGATGAGCTTTTAAACAGTACTGGGATTCCACTTCCTGGCGAGGTGTTCTTGAATGACGGGCTCCTTAAGGGTGAGGAATGCTTGAATGAGGGACTCCGTGAAAATGGCGGGGCTGTCTGCTCGCCAGCGCTGAGCGAGACGCAGATCGAAAGGAATGATAAATTTAGCAGTTTTCTATGCATATTTGTGAACGGTTGATTGACGAGTAACCAAGCAAAAGTTGGAGAAAGATTTTTTAGTTATTGAAAATCGCAAATTATCGATGATTATAGGCTAAAAAACTAAAATCGACGGATAATTGAAGTCGTGGATAGTTACAAAACGTGGATGGCTAAATATCTGGCGTTGTCTATTCCTACGAAAGATAAGGGCGTTGTGTTGGTATATCAACCGATGGAAATTTCCTTTAAAATGTCGTGTCATGTATCCTGCTCTCCATGATACAAAGAAACATATTTCATTATAATGAAAAGGAAAAGCACTGAACGGGATAAATCAAAGTTGACGTCATTCTTGAACTAATCTCGCAACCCCAGAATGATACGAGAAAGGAGACTTAACTTGCACGACCCAACACTAGAGAACCAGTCAGTTTTCAAGGAAAAAGAGCCGGAATGACTACCATTGCTGCTTAAATACTACCAATGATGTGTCATACTGCGTCATCTAGTTCTGCAAAAGCACTTTAACATGGTAAAGTGTACCTTTGTGAGAAGGAACATACCTGTCGATCAATCATCTCTCAATCCGTGATCTACATATCAGAGCCATCTGTGCAATTAAGCTACCTTTTTTTAAAACAAGAACACTCTGATCCTCTGAATTCCATTAGGCCGATCATATACAGGGTGTCCCAGGATTAAGTACGAATGTTGAATTAATATTTTAATTATTATCATGCGAATCAAAAATCTATCCAAAAAAAAACCCGTTCCGTCAGATTACACAATTGACATATGAGGCTATGTTTATGTTTTGAACCAATCGATATCGATACAATATCACCCGTTTGATATATTGAATACGATCTATTTCTCCCTCGGATTTTGAGAGGGCAAGTAATTGGAGGCAGCTTCTCCATTCTTGAACATTTTATTTTGTTCGGGGGAAATTTTGATCAATTTTGAGGCATTTTCGAGATTTCACGAAGTTTTAATACCTCTCCTCTTTTCTCCTAGCACATTTTGCCTCTTCTCATGAAATTTGGGTTATACTCCCCTCCCTCCTTGCTCGTCTTTCCATGGTTTGTAACCAGTGCTTTAATAGAAAAAGGAATGGGTCAATTGCACGCAAGAGATACAGCCAACTGAACACACTTCCTACAAGTAAATTTGCTCAAAAATCACGGCGGGTACATAAAAAAATCTGAAATCCACTCCTTAGCGCACAATTCGCATAGCTTGTAACAAGCTTTTTCAAATATGTTCCGCGTGTGCGGGCAGTTTTCCTTGAATCCGGCAGTCAGCTTTGCTCGAAGAGAGACCTAACCTAAATACCCTGGTAAAAATTGGCAGTAGAATCTGTGTTCCAAAATACCATAGACCCACGGCCGGCTGTAAGATTTCCAATAGCTTCTATAGCCGGCTTCACAATTTCTTATAGCCTTTTATAGCCGATGGCGACTAAGCAACTCACAGCCAGGCGATAAAGTGTATGCTAAACGTCACTAATTACGAATGCTAGGACTTAGTGAGGTTTTGGACCACTGCTCTCCTTTTGGGCCGTAGTATCTTGATTTATTTTGCGAGGAAAGCTCCGTACTCTTGATGGAGGCCTGTATTCCTAATATATTAGAGCGCCTTCAGTTTCGTATGATACTTTGCAATACCTCTGGTGTGAAATAGTTGCTTCAAGCGCCGTGGCACGCTGCGGCGTGGCAGGCGGACAGCCAGCGCGAAACGCGCATTGGCGCCTACAAACCTAACAGGGATACTTCACGCCTTGCGCAATGCGTGAGGTATCCCTGTTAGGTTTGTAGGCGCCAGTGCGTCGCCGCGCGCCGCTCCGCTTTGTGTTAGGCTCTAATATTTAATCCGGCGGAGTCAGCGTTATTCAACTCATGATTTTGAAATGCTTGCACATCCTGTATGGATTATCCTCGTTTCAATTGATGAAAAAAAATATGTATTAAAGGAAAATATAACATGTGTTTTGTAAATATTAAGGTGGTTCCGTATCAAACTTAATGATTTCCAAAGCATACGAAGTTCTACTTAATTTCTCATAGCCTTTTATAATCGATGGCGAAGAAGCAACAGCCAGGCGATAAAGTGTAAAGCCCGGTGATAGGAACTATAGCCCGGCTGCATAGTTTTTTATCGCTTCGTACAGCCCGGCCGTATGATTTTCTCCGCATTCTACAGCCAGCTATATGATTTTCTGTAACCTTTTTTAGCCGGCTATAATAATTCCTACGGTATTTTAAAACGCAGCTCTTATCGCTAATTTTTACCATGGTAAACAAATAATCTCGCGAACTGTTATAAACTCTCTTTGCGTAAGATTTCAATCGATTGAAAGCTTTTGCTTTTGCAAAATAAAGAAAGAGAAAGGAGGCAAACGCTTGAAAATGATGCGAATCGTACAATAGAAAAAGTTGGCGAGATGGTTAGCTTGCTCAAATTGATTATTAAGCGCTCAGACGATAGGCAGCGCTTTATGATTTCGACTTGCCTCTGAGTACTGTATACTAGTGCTAATGCGTTTAAATGGCGCACCAGCTCATCGATGTGTAGGCTTTTTGGGGGGGTCCATTTTTAAAATAAATAAAGCTGTGAAAACTGTATTTTATGCTTTTAACGTAATGCGGAAGTAGTTTCGATCGTTTGTCTATAAGAAAATTTCTTAGCGGTAGAGTAATTCTTATCGAAATTGATCGTTGAACTCAAATGAAGCCTTAAAAAACGCGCCTGATGAGCTCAACGGTGAGCTCATTTTCGGGAAACAAAAATACGCGTTTACGGTTTCCTTGGCGACCTTTGTTTGCTATCAGCTGATGTTTTATTTCCATCCTTTCTTCACTAAATACATTTACTAACACCTGAGCGCTTTTCTAATACGACGGTATTAGAACTTTCCCGCTTGTTTTTTACTCCTCTGCTTGTGAAAACTTGGTCGGGGCTGACTGAAGAAAACTGCCCGCATATGCGGTACATTTGAGAAGGCGTGTTACAATTTCGCAAATTGCGCGTAAAGCAGTGCATTTTAGATTTTATTTACGTACCCAACGTTATTTTCGTGCATTTTTATGTCTAAGGAGTGTTCTTATTTTATTGTATCTCTTGCGTGCAAAAGTCCCATTTCCTCGTCATGAATCTTTTTTATGTAGGCGCGCGGAAGTTCAAACTACTGCTTGTCACGGCTCAGCCCCACGGCCCCACGCGACGTGGGTACATCATGGAGAAGAATTTTTTATTTGTTACATTGTAGGCTCCAAATGTAAAGTTGGGTATCCAATTGAGCTTTTCCTAGGAATTAGCTACATTAGTAGTCGTGCACATTAGAGGAAAATTAAGAGAGTTGCGAATGAAATTCCGCGGCCATATTGCGCGTTATTTTCGCGTACGTGTTACATCACTGGATGCAGCTTTGATCGCAAAAATCTCAGAAACAGTGTTCGAAACTCACAGGCGCCAACGCGTCAAATGCGCCTAAAAAATCGACCATGGTGCCTAAAAAATGAAGGCTCTGCGCAAACGTGGCCCCTAAAAATTTTCCCCTAAAAAGCTGGATTTTCACAGGAAGTCACAAAAAGAAAGAAAAACAAATCTATTTGAATTGAAAAAACTCAGAATCTTCAGCACTACAAGTGAAAGCTTGCTTTTTCTGTTCTTCACGATTTCATTCTTAGTGCTTTTATCTTCCCCTACTTACTAGTTCTGTTACGCAAACTTCTTGCGTCTAACTTTTCACTAAATGCGCCGTAATACATAGGCAAAAAGTCAAATTGGCCCCTAAAAAATCTTAAATGGCGCTTAAAAAATCGGGCTTGATGCGCCACATGGCTCCTAAAACTCAAAGGTGAGTTTCGAACACTGCTCAGAAGCGATTAATACGTGGAAAAAATGTATACTGAAACAAGTGTCTGATCTTAATTTACAACAGAGAATGTCCAAAAAAGTCACTGGGTTTAATATCCGAAGTTCGTGTGTTACCTCCAGTGACATCGGTAGGCACAAATATTTAACTCGCTAGCACCTTCTATTTTCTCTGTGTGGTCGCGCACGGATGTTCGGGCTATGCGGCTGTGGTGACGGTGAAACCTCAAGTACCCGCACCTCTTCTTCGGTGTTACATAATCTACGTTTCTTTTTAACTTTTCTTTTGTGAAAATAAACCAACGTCATGAGGCGAAATTTTTACAGAATATTCCTCTCACCGGAAAAACACAGAACATTTCGAGATATGAAGTTAATTAGTTTTCCATAAAATAAAAATAAGGTACGACAGGAAATTTGCAACGTTGCAAACTGATCTACGGGTTTTTGTAGTTTCCTCATTGCAGAGGCTATTCACTTTCCACGCACAGCTCCAGCGAATACACACAACAAGAATATATAAGCAAAACATGTACATCAGCCTGAGATTGACCAGAACATCAGGCTGAAATCAGAAATTCCTGGCGCTTTGTTCGAGCGTAATCTTCTCCGAAGCTTATTTCAGACACAAAAAAATTAATTTGCAGCACTTAATCTAGTTAGTTAATGAATAAAAATTCAGTTAACTTCAACTCGAAAGTATATAGTCAAGCATGAATAGTTGCTCTACAAATCATCTTAAGCACTATATTGAAACTGAAGCACCATTGAAACTCACAACCTACGCCTGTAGGTAACTATCCGTGCCTAGGACTTATCTTTGTAGTTTAAACGAAGAATTGAAAGCGCGCTGCCGTGTTGGGTCCTCGTTGTAAAGCCACCTTTGGCGCCACACCGCAGATGAAGTACTCAAGTGGTGTGAGCCCGGAAAGTCAAAACGCCTTCACTCTTGAGCGTATGCAACAAGGACATCCTTCGAGCTCAAATAGTTGCATCCAGGAGTTGAAATGAAATTGCATAGTGTGTGTCGTTTTTTGTAGTAAATGTCAAATTAAAAACTTTATCATCTTTGTTTGGAGTCGATGTATGTTAGTTTCGTTGCACGAATCATGTTCTAGATATAATTTTGAAGAGGGACTATGCATCAGAAAGCTTGAATTCGTATCTTTTCCAGTCACTGGAATGAGAAAGCCTCTTGAATAAAGACTATTAAACATTTTTCCAATAAAAACTACTCTTGATTCAATCTGATTTTTGCTTTAATGAAAAGAAAATCCGCTTACATTAAGAGGCTTGGCTTAAGTTCGAGTTACCTATACGCCTAAGTGGCGAAGTTCTGAGAAAAATTCCGATTTTTTTTAAAAATTCCGGAATACGCCCGGATTTAGTTCCGAAAATCGTCAAATTTTATCAAAAAGTCCCTAAATTTGATTAAATAAATGGTCAAACTGGCGAGACACCGTAAATTTCGAGGATATTCCGAAAATTGTTGAAAATTCCGGGGATTCAGAGGATTCCGGAGAAAAGTTTCGAATTTCAGAATTACTTCCGGGAAATGGCAGCTTTCTCCAAGAGATTTTTTTTTCCAGTACTGGTCCATTAAAAGTTCTGTGCATGGCCTTACGAGGCACGCCAAGTGGGATTAAAGAGCCTGAAAGTTCTTGTGCCTTGAATAGACGATCAAATTCCGAACCAATTCCGATCAAAGTAGACATGCTTGATGACTGATGGTCACTTCTACCATCAAATTTTGGCGGGACGCACTATTTTCTTCAAAGTGAGATCAGAACGGAGTGCCACTACTCATCATTTCCTGCCACAGGAAACACTCCTACCGAGTTTCCATTTTAAATGAAATAAGCAAATTAATGAGTTGGACTGGCTTTTGCAATTTAGAACTATAAATCCTGGCTCTTCCGGAAAAACACTTATGTGCATAGGTGAACTAATGGCACATACGTTGTTTTTAAACCGGGCTAGAATTTATAGTTCCAATTTGCAAAATGTAGTTCAGTTTAAGACTGATGACTCCCGACACTTTGATGGTGATTGGTTCGGGAATTTGATCGTCTATCGAGACCTTTAAATGCCATATTTTGAGTGTTTTTAAATCGTTGGATGTTTTTTGGTGTGAACAGGACAGGAAGGACGTGCGGGTCGACGGTTGAAGAGTGAGGGCGGCTCGGGGCGGAGGATGAGGCGGAGGTTTTCTCGGTCGGGGCAGGATGCGAGATGAAGCGGCAGAACGTGAGAACTCTCTCGCTGGTCGTCTGCACGTTCACCTACCTCCTCGTCGGAGCGGCCGTTTTCGACGCTCTCGAGTCGGACACCGAACGCAAGCGCTGGGATTTCCTCCAAGGTACCCCAAAATGAAAATTTTATGCTTGACGTTTTTCTACCCAACGGAACTATAGATGACTGGGAAAGATCATAGAGAAAATACAGAAGGTGGTGGCAAGGCAGCCATCTTAAAGAAAAGTACACAGCCTGGCACGTTGCGCTGTTCAAAAAAAAGTACATATCATGATGGAACCTGTATAAAAACCTACATCACCACCAGTGTTCGAAACTCACCTTTGAGTTTTAGGAGCCATGTGGCGCATGAAGCCGGATTTTTAGGCGCCATTGAAGATTTTTTAGGGGCCAAATTGACTTTTTGCCTACGTACGACGGCGCATTTAGCGAAAAGGTAGACGCTAGATGTTTTAGTCATAGAATTAGTAAGTAGCTGTAACTTGGGGAGGACAAAAGCACTAAGAATGAAATCGTGAAGAATAGAAAAAGCAAGCTTTCATTTGTAGTCCTGAAAATTCTGAGTTTTTTCAATTCAAATAGATTTGCTTTTTCTTTCTTCGTGTGACTTCCTGTGGAAATCCAGATTTTCAGGGGGCAATTTTTAGGGGTCACGTTGGCGCAGAGCCTTCATTTTTTAGGCGCCATGACCGATTTTTAGGCGCATTTAGCGCGTTGGTGCCTGTGAGTTTCGAACACTGACTGGGAAAGATCATAGAGAAAATACAGAAGGTGAAGGCAAAGCAGCCATCTTGAAGAAAAGTACACAGACTGGCACGCTGTTTAAAAAAAAGTACATTTCATGATGGAACCTGTATAAAAACCTACATCACCAATGAATCTAACATTGAAAGTCATATGACTTTCATTTTCCAAAAAGGAACCAAGAGCATTCCAATGTTCCTGGGATCGTGCAACTTGCATTCTTTGCAATCAAATTACTGAAATCGTGCAAAAAATTAAATTTACCAAGGGAATTTTCCTCTTGAATTTATAGTTAATTAGATATAAAAAGAAATATCGTTCAGATGATCAGTTCATATTTGCAAGGCAAAAAAAGGTACACAATCTTAGCACCATTGGAATGCTTTTGGTTCCTTTTTGCAAAATGCAATCAATATAATTGAACATTGCAACATGCAAATTAATGCTTACAAAGGCAATAAAAAAAATAAAAAACACTAGTGATGCAACGCGTAAGAATGAGGCATAATCTGAAGATAATTTTATAGATTCCACCAAAAATGAAAGACGTTCAGCTAACTGCACGTAACGTTCCATCATTATATATACCATTTTTAGTAAACTAAAACGTTTTAGAGACCTTAAAATTGCCTTGTTGGTTTATTTTTTTCACAAGCTTTGTTTTCTACCATTGCAGACATGCGTGATGGGTTGATGAAAAAATATAACATATCAATGGAAGACTACCGCATGTTGGAGATCGTTATGATCGAGAACAAACCGTACAAGGCTGGACCGCAATGGAAATTTGCGGGTGCCTTTTACTTCGCCACTGTCGTCTTGGCGATGATTGGTAAGTTTCTGAGAATTTCAATTAATGGATTCAGTAGCTCTTATTCATTTTAATTTTACAGATAATTAGCTCATGAAATTTTTCAGTGAACTTTTTTTTTTTGAAATAGCTCTACAAGGGCTAATATTGAAATAGCCCTACAAGGCTCTCTGTGAAGGACTGCCGCGTTACAAACTATAATGGTAACACTTGAATGCAATTTTAAATACTCCAGGGATGAGCGTGTTGCATACACACAAAAGGAAGGCGCCCTGGCCTCGTTAGGTACACTTTTAACAGGACACGGTGGATGTCATTCACTGTGTTTTTCAATAGGTAGTATTTCAGTCTTTACAATTGGACGTATTTAAATCAAAAGGAACTATATCCATTCTGACATAAGCCCTGAGATATTATAAGAATACGTGCAAGATAAGGCTCATGTCACAATGTACATAGTTCATTTTGATTTAAACACGTCCAATTAACGGTCGGAGACTTAGTGTTCCAACTAGTCTTATATGTTTCGCTGATCAACAGGCCTCATGATCTCCCCCTTCGAATACTGCAGACTGCCGTGTTAAGGATAAGAATATAATATAACAGTGGCGAGGCGTGAATGGTCGATTATATTATCGATATTTCCCCATTTGAAGCTATGGTGAGGAATCTATTGCTAAGGTGTTCGTTGTGAACATCCTGTTTATAGATCCTTTTACGTAGGTTCAAATGGTAGATCAATCGATCTATCATGAAGCACGATACACCACTGCATTATGAGCATCTGAAAGTTGCCAAATTTTCCTCGCATAAAGCATCTGTTCTTGAGGTTTATGCATATTTTTTTTTGAAATTTTAGATCGAATTGCGAATATAATTGTCTAAAAATTTTGTAGACAAACGTCTAAAATTTTCTCATGAATTAGTATCTTGTTGAAGGAAATAATTATGGCAATGACTCTAAATCTGGCATCCTCACCACTAGAACTCCTAGAAAACTTTATTTGATGGCTGCTTGATGGAATACTTAGAGACATTTCCTTAGATGGTTTATCCATCTACATGCGAACTTCCGCAATTGGATGTGCTTCTCTTGAAAAATGAATAGCTGTCATATGATTCCAATGCACCGTGGAAGCTGCAACCAATCAGAGTTGGTACTTGCTTTCCGAACGAAGCCTTGAGTAAAATGGAAAAACGGATAATCTGATTTACGGAGAGAGCTAGGTGAACGTGTAGCAGCAATCTCACCTGGATAAAGTTATTGCAGAAAATTGCATTATCGAAGAGCAAATCCGGTCCCTTGAGGAAGTTGCCTCACTTCAAGCTATGTGCTAACGAGGCAAATAGAATGTTGTATTTTTGAAGACAAATTAAAGAAATTATCACTGTCTCGGAATAGGTTTATTGATAAATAGTCCTTCCTCACTCGAAGAAACGTAATTTCATTTTTGAGTTGCAAAATTTACTCACACAACTCGATTAATTACTGAATAAAATGTGCAGTTTCTGTCAAAAGTTCTGCTGATGTTTGCGTTAAACCAGGAGAAAAATCTATGACATTTTCGGTGAGAGACACCCAATGGATATCTAGTGAGGATACAATTTCTCATTGGGAATTTCACAATATTCAAATGAAGTTACATTATTTTGTCTGGAAAACGACAAAATTCGGAAATCGCGAGCTTTGTTCCTAAATAGCCAGAGCTTTTTATCAATGAAACTGCCTGTCAATAACACACACCAGCACCACACCTTCCTAGTGCGCTGGAGAATCAGTAAAAATCTTTTGCCAACAAGGTTGTAATCATCATGTAGAAATGCATCTCTACACGGATTTCCTCATTTACTTTCGTTGGAAATCGAAGGTTTTCGAGAAGATCAAATGAAAAGTTACATATAATATGGAAAATTCATGCACAACCCTAGAATGCAGTACAAAAGTGAATCAGATGCACTCATCTTTATAAGTAGCTTTCAAAGTTCGATCTCTACGCCACCTGTTTTAGCCTCCTATCCTCTCGAAGTCCCATTGCTGCACTCTCAGTAACTCCTCTTCAACCCATTGTCTCTTGTCGTTCGTCGGATATTTGTTTAAGCTACCGAACCTCAAAATTACCGATATGTCCGAGCTTTCCCTACTTAGGTGCTCCTAGAGTCCCTTTATGGAGAGAGTTGAGACAACGCGGCTTATGGGTGTCACTAACAGGAATAAAGATTACGCAAATCGAACGTTTTCTGTAATCTTTGATCAACCCATTCCCGAATTCTTACCTCCGTTCCCTCTTTAATTCCATTTGTTCCTTACCGTACCCCCAATGCCCCGGTCCATTCCAGTTTATAATATTTGCAATGGAGAATTTTCACACACAAATTGTATTGCTTCATCTGAGAGTGCCTAATGAGCTGAGTTCGCAGTATTTTTTATAATTTTTTTCTGACATAGGAAATTGGAGAAAAATTAATTTGATTGATCGATTGATTCAAAAGTGAGAAAATGTGCCGCCTTATGATGTCACCAGGGGGCATTTCCCATTTGAACACATATATTTTAGCAAAATTGGTTATTTTGTCATATCTCCTCCAATAATTGCTTAATTTATGAATCAAGGGTACCTTCGTGTTCAGTTCACTCAGTAGACTCCACTTAAACACGAAATCCATCAAATTTCAGACCCTTGCGAATTCTTTATCGGTGAAAATGTAGGTAATCTTTCCCCCGTTTGTGATACTGCGAAGGCCTAAAATACGGGGACCGATCAGAAATGGATTCGCATTGTCTTTACTCTCAGTATAAAGGCTTTCTACTTTAATCTAGAGTACCTATACAGCGAGAGTATGGACAGATCGCTTCATGGAGGGCTTAGGGCCCAAAAGTGCAGCCACCCTTCTAACCAACTTCTAACGCACAAAATTTCATTGCCAGTCTGCGGATTCCAATTCTAACCAAGATGGCTAAGAATGTATATACATGAGCGTTCTTCCGCAAAAATGAGTAAATTTATGCAAAAACTAAGTCAAATACGTGCTTTACAAACGATGGATCGTAACAATTGTATTAGTAAATCGCTCTGGATAATTGAAATTCATAGGTTGGCTGCATTCTTGGGCCCTAACTTTATTCGCGGAGGCATCGGTGAAGGGCTGATGGATTCTCGGAGTTTCACATCTGTCTATACTCTCGCTATACAGGTACTCCACTTTAATCCAGAGCAGTGATGCCAGGCGTACGGATTTATCCGTGCCGCGCGGACATTCCCTATACCGACACGGACCGCGTACGGACAAAAACCTTATGGGAAAAACGCTTCTCTATCTTAAAATATCCGTACGCGTGACGTCACAGAATGACGCTCAGCCAATAGCAGCACGGAGAGCGGTAGAGCGTACGGATCTCGCACACGGAGCACCCGGGAACACTGATCCAGAGGCTCATTCTGATGATAGCTGTGATTTTGTCCACAGGTTATGGGCACTCGACCCCCGTGACGATAGGCGGGAAGGCGTTTTGCATGGCGTACGCGATGGTGGGGATCCCGCTGGGCCTGGTCATGTTCCAGTCGATCGGTGAGCGGCTCAACAAGTTTGCCTCTGTGGTGATCCGCCATTTCAAGATCTACATGGGCTGCCACAAGGTCGAGGCCACGGAGATCAACCTCATGTTCGCCACCGGGTTCCTCTCCTTCGTCATCACCACCACGGGGGCCGCCGTCTTCTCCCGCTACGAGGGCTGGAGCTACTTCGACAGCTTCTACTACTGCTTCGTCACGCTCACCACCATCGGCTTCGGCGACTACGTCGCGCTCCAGGTCGGTAGTGATCTAAAAGGAAATCTGATGTTTCCGCACACAATGGATATGTTGCATGTGTGAGGGATTTGCGAGTTGACCATTAGTTCACATGTAAAAGTTTGCGAGAAACACGATGGTGCCACTGGTTTTCTCTGAAATCATCTCCCAAGCTCAAAGAAGCTCTCAAAGTGAGGTCAAAATGGAGGGGGTGTCCCACGCTATCCTGAGAGTCCACCTCCACATCAAAACAAACTCCCCATGCATAGATAGGGAGCAAATACATTAGCAGGGTTGCCGTGTTTTCAGTTTTGGAGCCCCCAAATAAAGTGGCAACCCTGCTAATATATTTGCTCCCTATCTATGCATGGAGAGTTTGTTTTGATGTAGAGGTGGACTCTCAGAGTAGGTTGGGATATCCCCTCCATTTTGACCTCACTTTGAGAGCTTTTTTTGAGCTTGGGAGATGATTTCAGAGAAAACCAATGGCACCATCGTGTTTCTCGCAAACTTTTACCTTACTTACCAACTTAGAACCAATGGTCAAATCGCAAATCCCTCACACATGCAACATCTCCATTTCCGATTTTGACGTTTCCGCACAAAATCTTAGATTGACATTTCGAATAAAATATTTCCGAGCATTTGCGCTTACCTCAGACTGCTTAACGTGATTTTCTCAAGCTGGATCTCTTGTGTGCGACACGGAAGAAAACGAAACTGCTGATTTAACAACTTTGTGGTTAAACAAAGTGTCCGACATGTTTCGATGTAGATTTTACAATAAAACAGTGCTAATTTAATCACCACCGTGCTTACGTCAGCTTTCCACTATTTGAAAATGTACATTTAAAACATGCCAGACATATATTTTAACAATTTAATTGTTAAATGAATCGCGTTCAGCAGAAAGGAAACAAGCCCCATCAGCTATTGCCAAATTTTACGAAGCAATTAAATTTATTACAGGAGAGCGTTTGTGCGAATTCTTTTGAAAATTTTAAGGGATTTGATTCGCACTATACAGAAAATTTTGAAATTTGCAACAAAAAAAACGCACAACCGTTTTCATATAATATATAAAATTGCTCTTTTTGGCGATAGCTGATGTGGCTCGGTTCTTTTTTGCTTAAAGCGGTCCAAATCAGCAATCCATTTTTTCCGGGAAGTGATCCATTCGACACAAACGACTTGCTCCAGCGGGCCGATTATTGAAATTTATAGACAAAGCTATAGTCAAAGAAGACAAAAGAGATCTGGAGAGATTTCATCGGTGGAAGTGGGTGGTTGCAAGGGACAAAGGAGGTAGATAATAGACTAACTAACGGCAACTCACGAGAGACCCGATAGCAAGTCCATCATTTTCTCCCTTATTAGTCTATAGGAACTACCCATTTCAACCAATAGGATCGCCCCATACTCCCTACGTATTCTTTGTCTATAGCTTTGTCTATCAATTTCAATTATCAGCCCGTTGTCGGATGAGTCCATTCTGAGCTGTAAAAAGCCGTTATCATTCAACGTAGTTCCTCAACTGTCAAAGCAACCACCCGCTTCTAACAATGAGATCCCTCCATATCCCGTTTGTCTTCTTCACCGATCGCTTTGTCTAACAATTTCAGGGATAAATAGACAAAGAATACCAAAGGGAAATAAAGCAATCCTATTGGTGGAAGCTAGTGGCTGCAATGGACAAAAATTTTAAGTAGTAGACTAGCTAACGACAACCCACGAGAGACCCCATAGCTATCAGTTCGTCCATCAATTTCTACCTCAGTCTATATAGGAGCCACCCATTTCAACCAATAGGATCGCTCCATACTCCCTATGTCTTCTTTGTCTATAGCTTTGTCTATCAATTTCAATTATCAGCCCGCTGTCGGATGAGTCCATTCTGAGCCGTAAACAGCCGTTATCATTCAACGTAGTTCCTCAACTGTCGAAGCGTCTCCGGCGCGAGATGGGACGCTGACGCGCTGTTTGCATAATTAAAGAGCGGCAGGCGCAAGAGTGCCCGGATGCAGCTGACCCAAGAGGTGTCTGTTGCAGCGCGAGCGTTATTATTAAACACCTCGGCAAACTTTCAAACTCGCCGAGCACAAAATTCAATAAAGAAGGCCGCCGCCCCGGACAATTTTGAAGTTAAATTGGATTAGGGGCGAAATTAGACCCGGAACTACTGACGCTTTCAATTCCTTATGAAATAGATCCCCGTGCAGAATTTCAATCGAGATGCGGGGGTTAGTCTGTGACATCCACTATTCTGCTAAGGAAAAACGCCGCATGAACCCTCAGACGTTGCCAAGTTTCCTCCGATAAAAACCTAATTTACTAGGAAAATTGCGAATACTATTTTCCAAAAATTTCAGACAATTTTGTACGCAATTTTATCTAAAATATCTGAAAATTTCGAGAAAAAATATGCATGAATGTTGTCAAGAATACATGTTTTTTCAAGGGAAATTTGGCAACTCTCGAATGCTCATACGGCGTTCTTCCTTAGCACGGCAGTATTAAAGCGAGCCAGTGAAGGGGAATGAAATATGAGTCCTTCGAATAGATGATTATCCGCGCTTCCCGGAATTGCTGTTGCCTATGCGGTTAAATTGAAGGCGAGCCGTAAGTGGACGATTTCTGCCGATGGGCTCACCCACCATATGTTTACTGGTCTTATTAACGTTTATTGGACGATATTTGCGATATAAATATTTTTTCCAAAGGAGATGAATATTCGTGCTGCTCCACAGGTTTTTTCTGCCGCGCCAAGGAAGAACCCGTATTATGATCATTCGAGAGTTGCCAAATTGCTCCGATAAAACATGTATTTTTGAAGAAAATTATGCGTGTGTTTTGACATTTTCAGACTATTTAGATCAAATTAAGAACAAAATCCTCTGAAACATTGGAAGGAAAATAACAAAATTTCGCGAATAATCGAGATTTGTCACAGGCAATTTGGCAACGTCTGAAGGCTCATACGGCGTTTTTCCTTAGCATGGCAGTATTGCCTGTGCGCCAAGATTGAAAGAGCTACGTATTTGTACTTTGCCTTAATTTAGAATGATATTTACTATTGCCAAATACAACAATTATCAATGGCTTCCCAGTATCGTTTGTCGGTTTCACCGAAGGTTATAATATGGCGAAAAAAATGAGACTTTTCAAATAGAGATTTTATATTCGCTTTACTAAATAGATTAATGAGCACTATTGAATAGATGTGCTGCCAATTAGCTTGAACTGAATGTGAACTTCAAGTAGACGATGTTTACAAACGATATCATACCTTGTTGATGAAAAACATTTTATAGCAGAAAAAATTGACACATTTTCAACTAGACATTTCATCCGCTTAATTAACATAATTAAAAATCGTGTCACACTCAGATTGATCTAGGATCGGCTGAATGATGAGGGAAGCTTCCTTTTATGATTGATCAATCTGAAATCGTGATTTTCAACCTAAAATTTTTAAGGATTCATAAGGGATCCACTCTGCCGTGCTAAGGAAAAACGCCGTATGAACCTTCGGGCGTTGCCAAATTTCGGTTGATAACACACGAATTTCCTGGTAAACTTATGAATATGTTTGCTCCAATTTTTTAGATAATTTTGTTCGCAATTTCATCTAAAGCTCCTGAAAAATTTCAAGGAAAGATACCCATAACTTTCCTCAAAAATAAACATTTTATTGAAGGAAATTTGGCAACTCTCGTATGTTCATACGGCGTTATTCCTAAGCACGGCAGCACTGCCCCTAAAAAAACCATTTCGATGAGATAAATATGTGTATTTATTGTAAGTGAGAGAGAGTGTGAGGGTGTGTGTGTTTTGATTGGCTGCAGGCTAAAAAATCGTCTTCTTACGCCTCTGTACTAAAATAAATTGTAAAAAAGTATTGGATTTGACAATAGGGCTGTAAACCTTTGCAGCCTCGACTTCCTCATTTGACATTGGAGTAAAAAAACACGAGCCAGTCCAGCCACATTATCCGACTCATTTAATTATCTCTGCCTCTGGGGGTTGTAATTTCCAGCTCACGCCTATCATCCTTCTAACGCCCCTTTGTGCCCCCTACTCCAAGCCCCCTACCCCAAGCCCCGTTCTACTGCTGTGAACGCACAGTCGTTAAATTAACAACTCGAGTGGAAAACTGCATGAACACCATAGGGTTCCTAAAGCCCTTATAATATTCCTCAAAAACCTTAAACTGTTTCTCGTGGAGTATTTAAATTTTCAAAGCTTCTACGCTGCCAAGCTAAGGAAGAACGCCATATGATCATTCGAAAGTTGCCTTTCCTCGGGTAAAATGTTTGTTTTTGAGGAAAATTATGAATGTGCTTTCTTGAAATTTTCAGATACTTTGGATAAAATTACATACAAAATGATCTGAAAAATTGGGTGAAAAATGTTCAAAAACTTTCCTGAAAATTACTGGTTTGCCGGAAGAAATTTGGCAACATCTGAAGGTTCATACGGCGTTTTTTCTTAGCACGGCAGTATGGGAAGGAAAAAATTGAAGGAGGAGAATTGAAGGAGGAGAATACATGCGAGTTGTTTGAAGTGGAGGAATGTGATTTGTGCAAAGTTTTGGTCAAAATTGTCACCCAATTTTTCGCGGAATTTTCGTTGGACTTCCACAAATATCTTCTTTAAAATACCTCGGACAAAAGCTCCAACGCGAGAATAAATGGAAGTATTAATGTTAAAAGAAACTATGTAGAATTGACTTAGAAGAAACTACACGTATACAGCAAGGACATTTTCTATCTATGGTAAGCACTCAAAATGCCTCATCGGATATTTTTCGCCGCAGGCAGTGACCAATCGTCGGAAGATTGAACTCTTATTATGTTGAATAATAAATTGTAAAAATTCGGAGATTAAGGAAAAAACAGTAATATACTGATTATTATTCTCCGACATCTAAACAGACGTTTTTTTTCTTGGTTGCGTGGTACCAGCTAGTATACGCGCAAGAACGTGTAGTGGAATCAGGTACCTCAGTTGGGTTCGGTTGGGTCACGCAACTAAATCAACCTCCCGGAAAAGCGGAGAGTATCACCAGTATTTGAAGGCGCTCCCAGCCGAGGCCGTGTGTTTGATGTTCGAAACATTTTTTCGAGGTGGCGACCATTCTCTATTTTTTGCACAAATTTTTCACCGTGCTGAACTTTTTTGTGTACCTACTGCGATTTTCATTCGATTTAACAAATTTTAAAGTTTATTCAGTTGAATTTATGTTCTACGCGCAAGTAACCTATTTCAGCGTCACGTGCCTAATGAAAGAATTTTTCCATTTATTTACTTTTTAAAATGTATATTATATTTGTTTTAATGTATGCTGATTCTTTAGGGCCCTAGAACGNAAAATTCGGAAAGAAAAAAATAAGAAAAGCCTAAGTTTCCTATATGATTCTTAATGAAAATTTTATGATCTTTCAAACTAATGCCAAATTTTTTTGGTTTGACGCATTATTTTTGAGTTATAAAGGGAAATCCGTATGTACGTCCTCTTTGAAAATTGCCGTAAGCCGCCATTTTGAAAAACTGCGATTTGACCACTTTCCCGGTGGAATTTTTTGGTAAACTTTTTTTTCTGTCTTATTGGGTACCTAGAGACCCTATATACCAAAGGAAAAGTTTGTGCTAATTTGTCCGAGGTAAAAAGCTAGATTGACTGGACTATAGGGAAAGAAGGTCATATTCTGAGCCAAAAAATCGATCTTAGAAGTTCAGTACGTTAACTTCCGGACACCCTGTATATTGTCACTGGTAAAAAAAAAACCTCTTGGTTCAAGAGTGCAGTTTCTTGTCGCCGGATTTAAGAGTCTGGACTCTTGTTTCAATGCAAAATCCGCTTGAATCAATGCAAAATCCGTTTGAACAAGAGTTCAAGACTCTTAAATCCGGCGACAAGAAACTGCGCTCTTAAGTCAATGCACCGCGGCATTGGTCCAAGAAGTTTTTTTTTACCAGTGTAAGTATACCTAAACCGTCGAAAAGTCCTGTATAGAACAGCCCCTACAATTCGAGAAATTAAGAGGATTTTAGCACCCGTAAGCGAAGTTACGACCACCGTAATACGGGGAGCCGACCGCAAAATTCGCTGAAGGCGAAGAAAAAAATGGACATTCTTTGAAGAGACGAGCCGCAAAAAAAGCCAAGCCCCGGATTAATTTCGGCTCGTAAGCGATTTAATAATTTACGAGCGTTGGTTTCTCGGAACCAGGGTGGAAGGGGGGAGGGGGTTGGGGCTCCCGCCACCGTGTTGATTTTGCGGTCTCCCGGGAGCGGTTTGGTTCGGCTTGGCTAATGACTGTGCCCTGCGGTCGGCGACGCTGCATAAAGCCAATACATGTCATCATGTCCCCAAAGTTACTTTCAGCAGTTTAAAAAAGAGTCGACAAATAAATTCTTCGGAAAGGAACACCTGAAATGTGTCTATGAGTCGTATTCGACACATCAAACAGGTGGGATTGTATCTATATCGATATCGATCGATTCAATATGTGAACTTAGCCTCAAAAGTCCTATTCTTCTTCTTCTTGTTTTTCTTCTTCTTCTTTTTCTTCTTTTTATTCTTCTTCTTCTTTTTCTTCTTCTTCTTCTTCCTCTTCCTCTTCCTCTTCTTCTTCTTCCTCTTCCTCTTCTTCCTCTTCTTCTTCTTCTCCTTCTTCTCCTTCTCCTTCTCCTTCTTCTTCTTCTTCTTCTTCTTCTTCTTCTTCTTCTTCTTCTTCTTCTTCTTGTTATTTTAGTGGTGTTTACTCCAGTAGATGAGCCCACAGCCATCTAGAGACATTTATTATAATTTTTTAGGAGTAGGATTTATTAGGGGTAGGGTTAGAAATATTTGTGGTGGTTGTGTTTAAGAAAAAAAGGGTAGAATCTAGTAGACCAACACCATTTTCACATCCTCAGACCTAGCCTCAAAAGTCAATTGAGTAATCTAAGGGAACGAGCTGTTAGTGATAGATTTTTGATATTTATGAGCACAAAATGGAAATGAAGAGTGGAATTATTAGGAATTTCCTCAGTTTCAGATTTGTCAACTTAAATCTTAAAATTTTAATATGCGGTTGCCGGTCAGTTTGGCCTAGCGGTCAGCGCGTCTGACTCTAGATCGATAAGTCTCCGGTTCGAATCCCGGTGGTGGCGACAAATTTTCACGGAACTGACGAGTGGATCTGCAGAAACAGATTATGCTCGGCCTTTATCCTTGAAAGCTGGAGCACGGATGTGCCAAAATCCCCCTGATATCCACTGACAATAAAAAAATAATCTCTATGCTAAACTCATGTCTATAGATGGTTGTAGATTCCTAAACTGGAATAGAAGACAAATAAACTGAAAAAGTCTCTCTATTATTCTCTCTATGGAAAGAAACTCTATTATTTTGAACCAAACGATACGTCGAGCCACTTTCAAATACGATCAATATTATGGCATGGTCGAACTGGCGTATGACAACCGCATCGATTCGGTTAATAATCTTGGCAGATTTTGAATTTTTAGCCAAAAAGAGGACGACAGCCTCTGCAGATGAGTCTACAGAATTATTCTACACCATATCATTTGCAAAATTCAGAGAAAACGAAAGCGGGGTCCTTTGTGGAAAAACCTCGTATTCGATAGAGAAACCGATAATTTTACATCGAATATGCGAGGTTTTTCCCCCAAAACGAATCCCGCTTTCATTTATCTAAATTTTGCCAATGTTTTGGTGTTGAATAATTCTGTAGGCTCATGCGGAGAGGCTGCCCGGGATCCGTTTTGGAAAAAACCTCGCATCCAATAAAGTCTTCGATTTCTGTATCGAATATGAGGTTTCCTCCAAAACGGATTTCTTTGAATTTTGGTAACCTTTTGATTTAGAATAATTCTGTAGGTTCATGCGCAGGAGCTAAATTTTTGGCTGAAAATTCAAAATCTACCGAGATTACTAACTTGATCGATGCTATGTGGATCGCATTCAGCAAAAAGGAACCAGCGAGATCACAGTGCTGTGAAAATGTCGCTTATTCATGATTATATAAAAAATCTCTCAGAATAGCAAATAGAATTGACTTCCCACCAAAAAATTGTTAAATTTGTAGGAAAATAATAGTGTGAATTTTAATACTGTGCACATATTAAGTATACTTTTAAAAGAAAAGAAGTTGCTCGATTTTTTAAACACTGTAATCGCGTTGGATCATTTTTGCTGAATACGGTCCAACTGATCCATTAAGTCCGTTCGATATTTGGATTGCTTTTGCAAAAAGGAACCAAGAGCATTGCAATGTTGCTATGATTCTGCTTCTTCTTTCGTCTTAAAAGAAAAACCTGATCATCTGTAAACAATTTCTGTTTTATACCTTATGAACTATAAATTTAAGACAATAATTACCATGTAAATTTCATATTTTTGTATGGTTTCAGTGCTATTATTGCAAAGGATGAAGTTTCACAATCTTAGCAACATTGCAATGCTCTTGGCCAATTTTTGTTAAATGAGGTCCAACTGACCCATTAAGTCCGTTCGATATTTGGATTGCATTTTGCAAAAAGGAACCAAGAGCATTGCAGTGTTGCTAAGATTGTGCAGCTTCATCCTTTTTGCGATAAAAGTGCTAAAACCATGCAAAAATATGAAATTCACATGGTTTTTGTTGTCTTAAATTTACATTTTTTAGGGTGTAAAATAGGAACTGTTTATAGATGATCAGGTTTTTCTTCCATGGCAAAGGAAGTTGCACAATCCTAGGAAAATTACAATGCTCTTGATTCCTTTTTGCAAGATGCAATCCATTTTTTCACCATTCAGAAGGTATCTAATCTTTGCTTCCTTCATTTTGATTGCAGAACGACCAAGCCCTGACGAACAAGCCGGGGTACGTGGCGCTAAGTTTGGTGTTCATTCTCTTCGGCCTGGCGGTGGTAGCCGCCTCGATCAACCTGCTTGTTCTGCGATTCATGACGATGTAAGTTATAGCGTTCATGCATAATGCAAGCTTTAATTTTCCCTCCTCTATGCCGTGCCCACCGTACCCGAAGCCATGTCTATTCCACCTACCTACGGGGTTCGCACACTCAATCACCCGACTTTATTTCCGCTTCGAGTGCGGGTGCGCCTCAAGTGATGAAACATTGAGATAGTTCGAACAATGAAAATTTAATTTACCCTCACCGTTTATTTCGACTTCGAGCTCTGATTAAACCGTGGAACGGCTGCGCCAACATTGTATGTTGATACTGATGAGCCTCCAACGAATTTGAAAATAAGAAATTGATCATAATCATTTAAACATCACTGGAAAAAAAGCCGCTTGGATCTAGAGTCTAGGCTCTTAAAAACATCGACAAGAAAAAATAATCTCGATTCAATCGGACTTTTTGCTTGAATCTAAAGGAAATCCGCCTAAATCAAGAGGTTACAGCAGTTACAATAATTGTAATCTTCCGTCGCATTTCTAAGGTGCAATGATACAACTATTTGAACTCTTTGGAATGCGTGAGGTATCACGCCGCATTTGAAGGCGTTTTCAAAACAGCCAAGTTCCGATACCCGGATTATCGTTTTGCAAAGTTCCGATTATTATGTTTTATTCCGTACCACTTGTTTATTTTTAATCCTCGTATAAAAAGCACCCATTTTCTAAATACAATATTAGCTGGAGCGCACTTCAGCTATGAATTCACGACTGCAAAAATGTCAAAGGAAATCGACAAGCCCAGCGTGCATGGAGGCTATTTTCATTTTAATCTTTCGTCACACTCTTACGGTGCAATGATACAACTATTTGAACTCTCCGGAATGCGTGAGGTATCATGCCATATTTGAAGGCGTTTTCAAAACAGCCAAGTTCCGATACCCGGATTATCGTTTTCCAAAGTTCCGATTATTATGTTTTATTCCGTACCACTTGTGTATTTTTTATCCTCGTATAAAAAGCACCCATTCGCTAAATACAATATTAGCTGGAGCGCACTTCAGCTATGCATTCACGACTGCAAAAATTTCGAAGGAAATCGACAAGGCCAGCGTGTATAAGGCTATTTGGACTGCATTTTGCAATTTGGAACTATAAATTTTGGCTCATATGAAAAAACACTCATATGCATTGAGAAACTAATGGCACATACATTGTTTTTAAACTGAGCTAGAATTTATAGTTCCAAATTGCAAAATGTAGTCCATTTCAATTGAGGACACCACACCAAGAACAGCGTATAACTGGAAACCGCGTTTTGAGAAAAACGTATTTTAAGTTTTGTTTTTGATGTATTGCGCAGACTTTTCTATGAAGATGTTTTGGTGTTTGGTGTTTTGGTGTTTTTGGGTGACCTAACCCTTCTATTGAAGGATGCCGGGTAGATTTTGCGATACATTTTGGGTTTTCACTCTAATATATTTAATTTAAAAAAACGGTTTATAGGCCATTATTACGCCCAACAGTCATTTTGGTGGCAATATGAAGTATAAATCATTTTAATCACGCACGATTAACGCAAAATGAAAGAATATCGATAGTGAGTAAAGAAAGGGGTAACTAGCACCTTAGGCCCTTAAGTTTATAGGCCCGTTTATAGGTCATTCTTGCACCCATCGATCCAGAAGCCTGACTTAACTCGGAAAAAAAAAGGTTTTTCGACCTCGAGCCGATACCTATCTATATTCTATCGCTACCACAGCATAGTCCAGGGTAAGTAGAATCCGAAAAGCAGATGGGCGTATAATAACGACCTATACGCCTATAGGCTGTTCTTGGTGCGGTGTCCTCAATTTCTGATGGCAAGTATGTTCTTTCTCTATTAATTTCTCTTATTACATTGAATACGCCTGAAAATAAAACCGGTGACACTACTATTCTCGCTATCGTGAAATCTCCCATAAATACAAAACTGTCTCCCCGTTTCATCGTTCTTCCAACTTGAAAATGAAACGAATACCTGGAAACAATTTTTACAACTCGATTTCGGCTTCGTCACGCGCTGACAATCACCCGACGGGATGCTGTAAGATCGCGAACAAACAAGAGTAATTATGCGCATTATTTTGCATTTAAATCACCTCGAGGATACGAAACCTATTACTTTCAAACAGAATAGGTAGTGTTTTCAAAACCTAGCTTACCTCGCCCTAACTCACGGGGTTTTAAGCCCCGAGAAACTCTAAAAAAAACAAAGTTTGCAGACTTAATTTTCTAATAAGGATCTCGTCTCAGAGTAAGAAGCACCGGAGTTGTCTGGTCTCATGAATAGTGCACTGCGGTAGAAAACTTACAAAGAAAGAGACCGATTTCGTCACCCTCTGCCCAAAGTATCACAAGCTCCATGCGACGTTTAAACATTTTCGCCACAAATTTATTTTTTTAGAGAAATTTTTAAACGAAGCTTTCCGAAAATTTTCCTGAATTTTCTTTGTGCTGCTGATAAAATTCAGCGCAATTTTCAAGCAGATTCAACTAACAATTTCTTCGTAAAAAAATAAAATGGCGGTGGAAATTTCTAAACGTCGCATGGCACTTGTGATACTTTGGCCAGAAGATGAGGATCTCTTGAAATGCTAGGCTGAGTGCTTAGTGGAAATGCGCTATTTTAAATGTCTATTGAAACACCTCGATAGCCAAAATGCGAAGCCAAGCATCTCTGTTAGTGACGGTGCAGACTTTCTGTCATTCTATATTGTTTTCTTCAAAAACTAGTCAACGTACCTATATCATCGAAAACTTCCTTGATTTTTCTTCTCCATCAGCAGGATAATTTGTAAAATTTCAAGGTATAAAATTCTATATCTGTCTACTATCTGTCATTCTATATTGTTTTCTTCAAAAACTAGTCAACGTATATCATCGAAAACTTCCTTGATTTTTCTTCTCCATCAGCAGGATAATTTGTAAAATTTCAAGGTATAAAATTGGCCATCGACCTGTGTCATTAAAAGACCGGATGTTCCAAAATTTTCGACGCAAAATTTGTCCTTTACAAAAATGTGCCCTTACTAACGGCAATCCTCGAGAGGCCCTAAAGTTAGTCCATCATTTTTCCCCTAAGTCTCTCGGAACCACCAATTTCAACAACAAATAGGATCGCTCCATACTCCCTATGTCTTCTTTGTCTATCGCTTTGTCTATCAATCGCAATAATCAGCCCATCCAGCTAAGATACAATGTCAAAGTAGGTGAAACTTTAAACTAACATCGCTTAGTTTCTCAGTCCAATGAACGCGACTCAACGGTTGTGCTTCGAGTAAAAACGTTCTGCATTTGTATGTAAACACGCTCGTAATGGGGTCATTCAAGCGGAGTCGAAGACCATCGTGGAACGTTTTGTATCCGATGATTCTGTCGCCAACGGCCCTGAACAGTTTACTTGGACAGAGAAACTTTAATTAAACTCGGCTGGTATTTTGTATATCACGCATGCCCGAAAATCGCCCTCAAAATAGTGAGTATGCAACCGGACGATCAATGAGTTAAGATGCTTCTGTAGGACGAGTCTCTGATGTAAGAGAGGGATTTGCGAGTCAACAATTGAAGAAATTGTAAATAGATGGGCTTTGATTGCATTGCAATGTTGTATAATTTCACTCATTTTACTGGGACTAGATTCATTTCAGCCCGATCGGAGAACTCTCAATGTTGACTCCGAACTTTTAGTCTATGCTGATTTTTTTATTCCCTCCTACTTATATAATTTTGATTCCCCATCATTTATGTAAGTTTGATACCCTGTTGATTTTTCTCGATTTCGGACAGGAATTTTTTTTNTTTTTTGGGGGGGGGGGGGGGGTTGCGTCAGATCCTACGTGGTTTGAAACGTGGAATCGATTTCGCCTGGTTCCGTGACTAGCTGGAGCTTCCTGAGCCGAGAAACGATGAGTGTTTATTATCGTTTTTCACTGTTCACAGGAAAAAAAAAACACATTGAAACTAGAGTCCAGACTCTTAAAAACATCAACAAGAAAAAATACTCTTGATTCAATCAGAATCTAGCTTAAATCAAGAACCAAGCCTCCTAATTTAAGCGGATTTCGTTTCGATTCAAGCAAAAATCCGATTGAATCAAGGGTATTTTTTCTTATGTCAATGTTTTCAAGGGTCTGGACTCCAGATCCAATGTGTTTTTCGTCCAGTGTTTTGACCATTTACGAGAATTCACTCCCTGTTCTGAGCTCCAATGAACTCGTGGAGCATTTTGCACCAAATTCCTTTTCGATCGAATCCATACCCTACGCCTTGAAAGGGTTTACCTAATGATAAAATGATCATTTTGCAATTAGGAACCACAATTTTTGGCCTCGTTTAGGAACAACGTATGCACCGCTAGTTTTTGTATGCACACAAGTGTTCTTACAGATGAGCCAGAAATTGTAGTTCCGAATAGTAAAATGTAGTCCAAATGATCACACTAAATACATCGCTGAGCAACGAGGGAGCTTACACGTAAAAATCACTTGCATGCTTCCATTCAAAATTATTTATAAAAATATTTAAATGAAGAGAAGGAAATTAGATGGGGTTTTAAGTAATGTTTTATTATATGAAATGATAATCATTTCAACAAACTGGATAAAAACTTCAAAATCATAAGTCAAAAACCGCTGATACCTTAAGTTTGAATATTCGCGTCAAATACAGTGCGGCCGGCGCGGCGCGGGGCTACTAGCGCGCACGGCGCGGAACGCATGCATAGTAGCGCCTTACAAGACCGCAGGATACTTCATGCATTGCGCGTACAGCACGGCGCGCGCGCGGGGCATAGTAGCGCCTCACAAGTCTGCAAGATACTTCATGCATTGCACGTATACTACGGTGCGCGCTCAAGGCGTTGAAAAGTCGTATTTTCTTGATGTCAAACCTATCCCGGCGCACACCATTTCCGAACAGTGCACACCGCGAGCTTGCAATTCTAGGCTCACATGATTGTAGAGATTTTTCAATCTTGTATAATTTTTGGTAAAAATATAAATCACTGGAAGGAAGTTTTCAAATTGGAATACTGACACGTTCTATATGTCGTCCGGAAAACACCGAACTCGGCTGACTTTCAAGGACAGAAAGTGGACATTTTCTTATCACAAATGTGGCACATAATTTCAAAGGAGATATTCTTGGTATCATGTTCATATAAAAATAAACTCTGGCAATCTCACCTCGCCTCGAGTTACTAACTTCTAAAATCTAACTTTGGCAATTTTTGCAAAATGACATATAAACGTTTATGGCTAACATCGAAAAAGTATGAGGGGGGAAGTCCACCGCGGCACCGAGATGGGCTGATCTGTTGGCGATTTCCCAGGCCGCTTCGAGGAGCAAGTCCACCTCTGCTCTTTTTTCTCATTATTCATTCCCTCTGGCTTTCTATTACGTTTATCCCCTCCCTCTTTCCTCTTCCCCCTTTTTCTTTCATCTCCTTCTTTCTTCCATCCGTCAGGTCTCCTTTCTTATCTTTCTATTTTTCTTTTTTCTCTCTTTTCTTTTCTCTTTCTCTCTGTTACTGTCTTCTTTAGAGGTGTAAATGGCCTTAGATGCTAAAGCACCACTTTAAAATAAAATTATTTTACTACTACTACTTTTTTTTCTTTTTTCCTTTTTTTATTTTTTTTTATTTTTGTATGTTTTTCATTATTTCCTATTTTTCTTATTTTCTTGTTTTCTTTCTTCTTTTTCCTCTTTTTTCTCTCTTTTCTTTTTTTATTTCTTTCCTTTTCCTTCTTCTTTCTTTTCTTTTTCTTCTTTTTTTCTTTTACTCCTTTTTTCCCCTCTTTTTTTTCTTTTTTTCTTTCTCTTCCTTTTTTTCTTTCCTTTTCCTTCATTTTATTTCTTTTCCTTTTCTTTTCCTTATTTTTTTATTTCTAATCCTTTTCTTCTTCTTCTTTACTTTTTCTTCATTTTTTCTTTTTTTTCTTTTTTCCTTTTCTTTCTTTCTTTTCTTTTTTTTCTTTCTTCTTTTTTTTTATATATTTGTATTCTTAAATGACTCCTCTATAGGACGGCCTGCTTGCGCCTCTTATTTTTCGCGTTCTGATTTTTGACGAAATTCCTTCCGGTTTCCAGGAACGCGGAGGACCGGCGGGAAGACGAGCTGCACGAGTCGCTGCACCCTCTGACGCTGGACGGGGACGTGGCGACGCTGAGCGGGCGCATGCTCATCGGGCACCAGTCGGGCGACAGCGACCAAGCGTCCATCTGCTCGTGCACCTGCCTCGGGGCCGGCCACTGCAGCGCCCACCATTTCATCACCGATCCTGCCTACACTCTCGCCCTCAACGCTGCCAAAAGGGCGTCCGTGTAAACCACCCCGACGCACACTGAATCGAGTCAGTAGGAGAAGTCGGACAAAATTCGGAAACTATAAATGCTAATACTCCCCTCCCACGGTGGATCGAGTCAATGGGAGAGGTCGAACAAACTTTGCGGAAACTTAAAAAGCTCATTACTCCGTTTATACAAAACTTTGAGGTTCTAAAATTCCATTGGTTTCCTCGTGAAATTTTCTTCAAGGAGCACCCCTTAAAGTTTATAATGAGACGAAATGAACGTAAAAATTTGCAATTTTAGTCAAAAATTTGATGTCCGACCTCTCTAATTGACTCGATCCACTGCGCTTCTAAGGAAGAACGCCGTATGAACCTTTAAGCGTTGCCAAATTTCCTTTGATAAAACACGAATTTCATGATAAACTTATGGATATTTCCCTTCCAACTTTTTAGATAATTTTGTTCGCAATTTCATCTAAAGTTCCTGAAAATGTTAAGTAAAAATATATATTCAAAACATTCCTCAAAAATAAACATTTTACCGGAGGAACTTTGGCAACTCTCGAATGTTCACACGGCGTTCTTCCTTAGTACGGCATAATAACTCCGTTTATACAAAACTTAGAAGTGTTAAAAGTGGTTCCATTGGTTTCCTCGTGAAATTTACTTCCAGAAACACCCCTTGTTTAAAATGTGACGAATTAAACATCATTTGCAGTTTTTGTTAAAAATTTCATGACTGGCCTCTCTGATTGACTTGATTTAGTGTGCGACGTCCGGTGAAAAGTCGAAAAATCAAATAACAGCTTTGGCCAAACGTTGCGTGATGAAAATTGCGATAAAATTGAAAATTTCGGTGAAATTGTGATGATGGTGTAAAAAAAATTGCAAAACCTGAGGTAATTTTCTGCGATGTATTTCATTGCACCTTTTCTTTGCCGAATGCTACTTCAGGAGTGTCGATTCTGTTTCCTCAAAATGTTAACTATAAAAATACTATTGAGAGGGACTATTACAACGAGAGCTTTTCAATCTTTTGAAACAAGAAGTAACTCAATTAGAATGAGGTCGCAATTTTTTCTGCTAATCCCATGTATTGAGATTAAGTGGTATAGTTAAAATGGATGAACTAATTTTACTGAAAACTTGGAAATAGATAGCAAACGTAAGTTATGTGACGAAATTGAAAATTTCGAACCTAAGTTCAATGTTTTGTTGAGATCAGCGAGATACGGTGAAAATTTGAATATTATCTTCTCTTTCTCTTCCTTTTTTTAAAAACAAAAAACAAAAAACAAAAACAAAAACAATGCAAGATAGATCTCGCTACCAACATTGAAATGCTCAAAATTCTGATCTACAATTGTATGTAGATTAAAATGAGTCAAAAGCTGTGAGTAAAGTAAAAACATGAATTTATTTATGTAGTTGGTCACAGGTAAAATTAGGGTACAACAAACCATTTTCTGGTGGAACAGACATTAACATCACATTTAGACATTATCTTAGAAAAAAAAGGAGGAAAAAAAAAACCAGTCATGTAAATATTTTTTATGTAATACTTTGAGATCGAGCAAATTCATATACTTCCATTTAATTATGCTAAATTTCTTTAGAAAAGAAAGTTAGGTCTTGGTTTTCTTTAAGATTAACATCAGAACTAATAACTGTCAGATCTTAGAAAAGAATCAATAGATTCTTCATTTAATAACAACAATTTTAATAACTTCCTAATAATTCAAAATTCGTTCCATAATTTGGAAACACTGATTTTGACAGAGATGAACTTCTCTGTTATTGAATTATTCTTGGGAGAAAAAAAGATAAAATACCTAAATTGATAGGTAAATAGAGCTGGGATAAATAAATGATAAGTTGCACATGATAAACATTTCAGACACCTCCGTAAACTTTTTAGTCCTCACAAGCATGGCACTTTTTATACGTACCTACTGTAAAAACACATTGGTGTGCTCAAAGTAGTATTAGGCATTTGCTCAAAAAAACCACTGGCACGTTTGAAAAAATGTATGGACACAAACTTTACACTGACATTTCCGTTTCTTTTAATTTTATCTTGCAAACAGGTAGATGAATATGGTGTGCAATGATCAAAGGAAAAAGGGATTTTCAATCCCTTATTCCCAATATTCGATTGAACAAATATAACAGGGTATTTGAATTGGTACTGCATGATTCATTACGATAAAATTGTGTCGTTTTCATCGGAAAAAATAAATCCATAAAAATAAAGATAGGTACATGTGCAGAAACTCACAATCTTTGTTTCTCTCCTCAATGGCTGAGGGAAATGCAAAATTACCACATTGTTAATTCACAAAAGTTAAGCGAAGTTTCTCCAAAAAGTAGAAAAGAAAACAGCTGTACGAAATTATGATTAGAAAATTAATGAAAGAACTTTTGTCAAGGTCTAATTTCTTGATATCTGACGCGGCCCTTGCCAAAAATTGGCTGTTGATAATCAGGGCATTACCTACTATATAGTTGGCTAACCCACCGATTAACTTAGATTGGAGGTATGAGGCTTTGATTTATAAAAATTACAGTAAGTTTTAAGCACAAAACAAGTTTTCTGCTTTCAAAGTTTTAAGTCACTCTTTCACTTTGATCATCAAGGTAAAATGAGAAGAGGATCATGGAACGCTTACTTTGATACAATAGAGACATTTTTTTTAAAAAGACAAAAAACAAAAGGAGGATTATAAACTGAGAGAATTTCAACACCTAGAGATAAAATTCATTTCGAAGATCATAAAATGATACAATAAATATTATACTGGGATTTTTTAAAGAATATTTTTTAAGAAAGTACATACTATTTTTTTAAAAGTTACGTTTGTAAATTTTACTTGTAACAATGCATATTTATATCAAAATGTGTGCTTAATTTGATGTAAAATTGGGAGATGAAGAAAAGTTACACCCGTTGGCCAGACTTTGAAAGCGCAGATTCTCAAAACTGTACTTTTTTGGGTTACCTCAGAATAGATGTGTGCGTAGCATGAAGATATATAAAGTGACCTTTGAGGGTGCTTAACTTTGAGAAGATGATCCTTAATGGATTTTCTTAGAGGTTGCCAAAACATTAATAATTTAAGCTTTGCACTCACCAGGCAAGAAAAAAGAGATTAGCTGATGATTTTCTGGCGGAATTAAAAGGGAAATTAACAAAATAGACCACAAGATAGGATAGGAGTTTGACATTTAAAAAACATGTGTCTTCATCGAAATTCCACACAAAGTCATAAGTGAAAAATTAACTTTCGTAGTTCACACTGTACATGGTTAGTCCAGACTTCCCGCTTGTCAAAAAACCAGAATCAACGTGAAAAACCAGAAATTTAAAAATGAAACTGTTCGTTCAGGGCAATAACTGGAGCATCCTTTCACACAAATTTCCTTCCTTTTGTAAAATAAGGCATCACTAATCTTGAAAAAAAAAAAATATATATGAGCTAACTCCTTCAACTAAGAAGTATACCAAATTAGTTTAGTCCTCTACTTGACTTGAATAGTCTTTCAGTTTTTATGAGTGGGAAGTATGAGCTAACATTCAAAAAACAGTATTTCCTCATTTACGAATTGAATTTGATCAGTTTCGATAAATCTAATGTATTCTGTGAAACAATAAAAATAAGTTTACACAATAAGAAGTTTGATGAAGAAACAAGTGTTTTGATGTATAACTTTGTAACTCTCTAGTGGTCTATTAAACTCAGATTTTAAACGAACAAGTTAAATTTGCAAAAAAAAATGAAACGAACATTTTTCTCCGTACTTTTATACATCCCTGCCACAACCTCAAATAACCTCAAGCACTGTAAAAATGTAAAAATTATGATGTAAGTTGATTCAGAAAATGTGAAAACAAGTTTTGAGCATAAAAAAATATGTACGTCATTATTTTCGATGTTCTTAGGAGATCATGGTATCTACTGTGAATCAGTCATTAACTTGTACAGGTAACTTTAATATAGTTGGGTGTTCTTATACATATTGTGTGATAGTTAACTGTTCTAGATTAAATACCTCAGATTAAATTTAGTTCCAAAAGACAATTGATCCTGCCCATCACACAAATACATATTTAAGATGCAAAATTGGTTGATTGAGGCTTTAAAGCACTGCACTTGGGACGCACAAGTTGGGGACCAAAAGCTTTGCTACAATCTGTCAAAGGAAATCTGATCAAGCCCTTTGTCGGCTCCTCGCGCCAACATTGGTCACCAGCTTGCAATGCCTGAATTGCCGCACAGTTACTTTTTTATTTTCACAAACGCACATTCACACAAACTATGTAATCAGAAGGTGGTAGAACTACATAAGAGACTGTAATCTTGATGCAAAAACTAGGACAATTTTGGCACTTACATGAATGAACTTTCCTCAAACTCAGTTTGACAGACTAAATTGATTCAATTAGGTACTAATAAAACAGTTTTCCAAAATAAATCTGGTTTGATAAACCTAGGTATTCTTTGATCGAGTTCCATCAGACTGTGTTGCCAAACTATGGCAGAAGTTCATCTCCATAGACAAAGTCTTGTTTGGATTGAAACTCGGATAATAACTAAAATCGGTAATTTGAAATGAAAATAAACTTCAAATATGACACTTGAAACACTTGCATTAATGCTTTTGCATTCTGGCAATAGAAGTTTAATTTGTGTGATTTGTGGGATCAAAATAGACTGATTTAATTACCACCGCAAAGATTTTGGTATTTAGAAACTGCAATAGTTTTGAAGAGAGGGACCCTCTTAAAATGTTCACAGCAAAGAATTTTGCTCTTTTTACATTCCCAATTTTAAGAGATTGACTGCGAGTATAGCACCTACAGTGGAACATTCTGGGGTCGCATCTGTTAAAATCAAAGACAAAATGTGTGATGAAAGTTATCCATCCACCTCAATTTTTTCATTTGATTTTTTTCTGGGAAAAGGAAAAAAACCGTGATTTTTTTGGACAAGGCGATTGTTCCCAAAAATCTTTAAACTTTGAAACCACACATCACAATCAACGTTGATGACAACCTGACATGATACTGAGTTGGGTTGTTCTTCTTAAAACAAAATATTACGCAGACATTTTTAAGAAATGAAACTGAGATAAGTGCTTTTAATATTTGATAAGCTGATTGATTTTAAGATTTTTAAGGCGATTTTATCGATGACTCAATCATACTAAAGCAAAAGTTGGCGAAAAGTGAGAAAACTTTCAAGTACCTACACTGAGCGCCATACAACAAGCAGACTCAGAACCAAAAACGATGCAGTCATTAAATCAGTCTATGTTATAATTTGATGATTAGTGATGCATGTTTGACATTGACAGCTTGGTAAAGCAATGCATCACAAGTCTTGCTCAAATAGACACAATAAGGCTCATAGTTGTCGAATCTTGCTCGGAAGACTAGATCTCAAAGCAAAGAATTCAATCCGTTATGTTGTCCTCTAGCATCGTTTGGCATCTATGATAAAGCTGATGTTACACTGATGTAAACTACATGACTTGCTTCCATGATTTTTTTATTTTCCTTTTTCACACAAATTTATTTTACCTTTAAGACAAAATAAATGTTGATGTTTGCAAATTATACGAAATTTCTTCATTATTTTCTTTATCCGGCAGTTAAAAGCTTTCACACTTATGATTCCAGTCCAAAAGCAGGAATCAGCGGTTAAAGATTCCAAGATTGAAATTGTTGCATTTGTTTAAAAAAAAGAAAAGAGGAAAACAATATAAGTTGTTTCGACGTTTTTATAAAATATTCTCAACAAAGTGATGAACGTAGTCATTGAATGTTTTAGAAACAAAATCTTTTTCTCTTCAGTTTGAATTAGTAAGGAGATGAGATGAGATTTACAACATCCCTAATTATTTCATACTTATCTTTCTTTTTTCTTACAACGCACATCAATTAATGGTGGTGAGAATTTCTTCATTTTACCATGTTGAGGGCTAAGGAAAAATACCGCCTAACTATCAATTTTCGCAAAAAAGAGCTAGCAACTTTGCCACATTTTATGGTATAAAATTCAAAATCTGAAGTCTTTAATTTTTTCCAACTCTGCATGGAAGCACAGAGCGCTTTAATGATGCTTTAACGTACGAGAAAAAGAAAAAGAAAGAAAAGGGGGAAAAATGCAGAATGAGCCTCAAAATCACAAAAATGATGAAGTTTTTTCTTCGTCCTGTAAAATCTTCTTTTTACAGACGGGCGGTGTTGTTCTTTAGCCGTTGATATCCAACTTTTCTTACGGATATTATCCTTGGTGAACAAAGCAGTTATGCCAGTTTAAAAATAATATAATGGTTCTGTTTGTTCAAAGGTTGGAAAGATCAGAATTCTAAAATTTGAAGCCTAATATATGGAATTTGATGGGTTAAAAATAAAAAAAAAACCCTGAATACATATTTTCCGGGAACGATTGGATAACTCCTCCAGTGGTTTCACCTCAAAATTGGAGTCCTTGCTCTTCTATTCTGACATGATAAACTGAGAATAGCAGGATATTCAGATGACTAGGTGCACTGGGTCAGATCAAATGAAAAATTACTGGCAAAAAAGTTATACTTGTGCATAAAGGACAAAAAATACTTAGAAATGCATCCGGTTTAAAGCTAACAGCACAGAATTCTATAATACAAATCATTTTTGCAATGTAGAGTGAAAAATACTGCTTAGTTGTTTAAGACAATATTAAAACACTTAAAAAATGTCCTTAAAGAAAGGGAAAAAAATGAATAATGTGACAGAGCTTATCATCCCAACTTGTATGGCTGGATCTAACCATCAAAATAAATTATAAAAGGACGTTTGTTCTTAAAATGAGTACATGAAAAAATTTGGAAAACTATACAGAATGTTTTTGCATACGAAAAGTAATACTCAAGTTGAGCAGATACAGCAAACAATGGCCTTCTTATTAAAATTTTGATCTGAAAAAGTTACACATGACAGCTAAAATGAGGGACGAAAGATTTGTTTCTTTTGTAAAATAATAAAATAATTGAGCAAAACACTGAAATCAATAATTCATGTCCAGACCCACATCAGTTTGAGTTCAATAAAATTGGAGGTAGAAGCCGATGACCAAAGCGCGAAACCTTGTATTGCCATTTGCGACAATGCAGACTTCTTGTCATAATTCATTTTTTCTTTGAAAAACTAGTCAAAGTAATTTCATTAAAACTTCTTTGATATTCCTTCTCTATTGGCAGAATATTCCGCAAGAATATTAAGCTATAAAGTTGACTTGTTTCTATTTGAAAAAATAAAATAGGAGCAAAAATTGTGAAAAAGCGCTATGAAAATACATGGTTTCACACTTTAGCCATCGAAATGTTTCTCCAATGTAGCTTTTCTGACCTTTTTTGTGCGTACTCCACAAAAAAGGCAAAAAAAATGTCCTCATGAGGGATCATCTGTGAAACTGAGGTTTTTGTTAAAAAAATAAAATTTCCCTTTGAAAAGATTACCCGTCTGAGCAGAGGGGAGGCTCTGGTTACAACATTTGGTAAATGGTTCACAAGAGAATCAACTTTGATCAGTTTAGAAGGACTGATTACTTGTTCAAACATGCAGAAAAAGGAAACATTGTGTCTTTATAGCCTGAGATACTCTGTTTCAGAAGTTCCAGGAACCTCTGAAAAATTAAAAGCTCCGAGAAATTTTTTCAATTACCTAAACGACTCTGAGAGCTAGCGATGTTCATAACACCAGCCTGGTAATTCCATTTTCCATTTCATTGATACTAGTAGATAAAATTCCTGCTTGGACGGCTTCCTTTTCGAGTTCTGTGAGTTGTTTCTTTAGTTTAGCTGCCTTCGTGCGGAGCTCTCTGTCGGTTGCTTTGAGTTGGTAGATGGCATCCCATGATTCTTTGACATGAGTTTGATCGACAGACCACTTCAGAAACAACTCTCGCCACAAAACCTGTGGAAGAATACAGAGAATAGTTTTGAGATACATTGATTTTTACAGGTGAAAGAACTATAAGCCTGTTTTTTTTTCTTGTCAAAGAAAGTGCTAATTAAATTTAGAGGGAAAAATTGCGCTGTTAGTATACTAAGAATTTTCAAGAAAACTATGTGCCTTCAGACAATTGGACGTATTTATGCTAAATGGAACTATGGGCAAGTAGAAGGATGGAATGTGCTCGTTACCGCTCGGGCCATAAGAATGAAGGGGAAATATAAAGAGCCAGTGATATCGGGAGCTATGACAATCGGCAACGCAACCTATCCACAATACTGTTGTCACATGACCACTGCTCACAAGTTAGCGCTCAGTTCCTTTTGATTTACTGTAAAATCCCGCTTTTCAATTTTCTCACCAGGAACTACATTCACTTTTAAATTGTTTCTTATGCAGCTTGCACAAGTAAAACCCATCTTTCCACTTGCACATAATTCCTTGTAGCATAAATACGTCAAATTTTGAATGAAAACATAAATAATCAGGAAAAAACAATTATGAAACATGGCCTACACTGTATGTAACAATGTGGTAAAAAAATGCTGGGTCCGCACTATTTTGCGAGAAAAATAAGGCCAAAACAGTTTGAAAATATTAATTAGAGTCAAAAATATTCAGCTCTAATAAGAACCAGTATAATATGTAGAGAGTTCAATAATTTTTACTCTAATTAAAATTTGTGAACTTTTTGGCCTTGTTTTCCCTGCAAAATAGTGTGCACCAAGCACCACTTTACCACTTTATTATAACAAATGAGGGTTGTTTAAATCGATCAAAAAGGTGATCGGTAATTCCTGATCAGATTTTGGGAGGAGAAATTGTGGCGATAGCTGATCCATGCCATTCATTAAGCAGGCTCGAATTTTAAAAAATTTGTAACATACATTTTGATGGACAAAGTACGAAAACATGTATTTCCGTTAGCGACATTACAGACTTCCTGTCATATCGTACTTTATTCTTTCTTTGGAAAATCAGTCAATGTCCATACATACATAAAGCCGCTTTTACAGCGCAGCCTCGCGCTCTGCAACGCTCAATCGCCATTGAATCCTGTCCTCCCAGAGATCATCAGGCAATCAGTCAACGTAACTTCTTAAAAATTTCCTTGTGATTCCTTCTCTATTTGTAAAGTATTCTGTATAAATTTTAAGCTATAAGGTTGGCTCTTCAATCAAATAAAATAGGAGTGGAAATTCGAAAAAATTGCAGTACAGATACGTGGATTTGCACCTCTGCCATCGACTTGAATAATTTTAAACGCTGGGTTCTTTTTACTCTAGCTGAGAAAAGTTTCATTAAAAATACCAGCAGCCGACACTCTGAGAAGGAGGGAATTCTTCTTGGAGAAAGCATACTTACCAGACTAACAGGAGCAACAGAGGGCCAAATTATGCGACTATTAGGGTCATACAAAGGATTCAATAATGTGTGTAAGATCTCTGGACGGTTCAGATATGACCATAGACTAGTTGTTTTTTCGCTTAAATTTAAACTGATTCGTTCCGCTTCACAGTCCCCAAGGAATGTTCCTAAAAATGCAAAATTAACAGTTAGAAAAAAAACAAGCAAATACAACACTCATCCCCACTCTGATCATATACTACAAGTCCAGTCACACTTTCATGTTTGCATGGGACCGGAAGCACAAGCCAACTTGAGCATGTTATTTACATGCTATAAGTGGGCTCATTGCAAAGTGAACATACCACTAAAACAGGGTAAGTATTTATGCCCATAGAATAAGTTTTCTCATTAAAATTTCATTCAGAAAACGTCAAATGTGTTTGGAAAAGCCAAAATTTACTGATGAATGAGAAATGAATGTTTATAATTTACAGCACAATCTATGAATTTCAGCTTCCATCATTACAGGTCAGATCAACCAATTTAGATAAGTCAATATTTCTTAGAGATGACTCAAGTTTTGCATCCTGAAAATTTTCTACATCCCTTGATATGTGAAACATCTGAAACTGTCAATAGAAATTTAGCCCTCAGGAGATATGACTTAATAGCAAAGTACACTAATATTTATTCGTTAACCACCTTGCTTCAAGGAGACTTTGGTTTTTTAGTAAGCGGCAAGTTTGAATCAACAATGATGAGAACAATTTTCACTCAGGAGTAGAATTTACACTTTTTTGATGAGTCTACTATATTCTAAATTTTATACAGCTTTAATTCCAAGACCCTTCTCAAAATGCCTTCCAAACTGGCTTTTGTTGCTATGAATATCATTTCACTGAAATCTGTTACGACTGAAATAAAAAAATAAACTACATACCGAAATCAGAAGCGTACGAATGTTGAAAGAGGAGACTGAGAAATGAAGGAGTGAACTCGAAACTAAATAGGAACTGGTTCTGAATCTGGTATATACAGTCTAAAAACAGAAGAAACGTCGGAGCTTGAGCTTTGGTGCGACCGGTGCTGGTTGTGGAGAAACAGCCACGTTTGTGACGGGTCCAAAATGGATGGCCGGCTTGAAGCCATTCCCGCTCAATCAAAGCTTCCAGCCTAGAATAGACAGAATCATTGAAAATTATCAATACAATCAATCAGAATGCACCCTTTTTTTAAAAAGTAAATTACCACCTGATTATACTTTTGTCATTATTACCTATTAATTTTAACAACTAAAACGCTTTGACATGACAGAATCAAATATTTAAAGATGGATTAAACACGGAAAAAACATGAAAATACTAAAAAGGAGATAAGTTTTTAGGTCAAAGGCTCATTTTCAACCAATTTAAATGAATAAAAACTCGATTGGGGACCCGATCCCAATTTTTACCACTTACCCAATCCTTTCTTTTCGGTGTTTTAATAAATGAGCTTTGTTTTACCCATATTTTAATTTTTCATTAAGTCATGTTCATATTTTTAAAGCTGTAGCATTTGGACATTATCCTTCACTTTCTATACTTACGTAAAATTTTAGAAAATTCACAACATTATTCAGAAACAAGTATTTAAAATACCTACATACACAGGTTGCACAGTGTTGAAGATAAACATAAGATTTTCTGAATGAGTTATTGATCTCGCCAAAAATTTGAATACTCTTTAGAGATAAGGAACTTACCCTCGAATAGTACGACAATCAGGATTTAAAATAACTTGAGCTAAAGAGGTTACAAGTAATGTGGCATCCATTCCGTCTGCTCCGTGCACCAATACTGACCATCCTTCCTGAAAATTAAAAAAAGAAAATTTTAAACTTTTTAGGTTGAACGGTGCAAACAAAATATGTTTGGGTTTCATGCATGAAAAGTGTGAGCAGAGAATTGGAGAGAACACTCAAATTAATGGCCCAAGTGTGAAACTTCGTTTTTTTTAACCACTTAAAGTAGCCCACATGGGCTAATCCCGCGCTTTTTAGTCCCAGCCCCCCTCTGTCCCTACTGAACAACCAGTCCCAAGCAATCATTGTTTGAATTCATCAAACTTGGGTCGCCTGGCCGGGACTCGAACCTGGGACCTGGTCATAGAGCTAGTTTAAAAACTTAAACACTTAAAATCAAAATGAATGGCCTTTTTTCACCTGATCAAGACACTGTGCTGCGAGACATGCAACATCCAAAGTATTCCGCACATGCGTCAGCCAGTTGCTGGACTCAAGACGGGACAGCCACTTGTCCACAGATGAGTTGGTGTCATTGCATGCTTCTACAAGTTTGCTTAAACTATCCAGAAAAACATGATGCCTCTCAATTGGTCGACTACATCGTCTCCATTGTGGGTAGTGCATTTCCGTCTCAAAGCCACCACCTTTAGTTCGGTCTGATTGTGCTACTGTTTGAGTCCGAGTATCGAATATGTAGCCTCGCTTCCCAGGACCTGGAAAAGGAACAAAGTAAAGAGTTTGACATCCTCAATGACATCTTCGTTTTCAAATGAAAAAGCAGATTTCAGTTGAGTTAACAAAGGCAGTGAGGAATTCTAATTTTTTCGAAATGGAAATTCTGGTAGTTAACAGTGAATTACGAACAAAAATCCTGATTTTTCTTCAGTTTGTTTATCTCAAATTGCCGAATGGATTTTGAACGGATCAAATTTTCCAATATTTTACAGTTTAAGCAGACTTTTTGGACTTCTAAAAATTTTGAGCAAATTTGTCGATCTTAGAATTCTGAATAATGTCTAAAATCTCTGTTTCTTCATTGTCCTTTCTCTCTTGGTAAAATAGTGAAGTAGTATTTTTCAGTAAAGTTTGGGTCCAAACTAGTGGAGTTCTGTGGTAGAAGGTGCCTAGCGAATCAGTAATCACTGATAACTGGTTAACTACTGAGACTAACAATAATACCCTCCCTTTTCTCTCACAAAATTTTTTCCTTGGATAAATTCCTTATTTTCCCGAGAGGCACAGGAGCTTCTCCACATAGAAAGAGTGAAATTAAACTTGCCTAATACAGCATTGAGTAATTTTTCATCTTCTTTGCTGCGTCCTGTGAGACCTTGCTTTTTGACAGATCCAGTAAGTGGCTGACTACTCCGTAGTAAAACACAGCCATTTGTGTGCCGATAACAGAGTACGGGAAACCGGCCACCAGAACGGAATTTAGCAGATGCTACTACAACATCATCATCAATACATTTTGGTACAAGCAGTAGACTGGGGTATGTTGGGCAGACAGAGAAGTCTTTATTTACATGAGTCAGTCTCCATTCCTCACTTGCAGTAAGTTTACTGAACTCTGCTTCAGGCCGAAAAGCTGTCCATCCGTCCTCCACGATGCGGTACGTAGGACGATACGAGAAAGGGTACAGGAGAGTTACTTTATCTGCAATATAGTGCACAGTTTTTAGGGTACATACTAAATGTCACTTAGAGAGAGAGAGAGAAAAAAAAATTGCAACTATGTGCCTATCATATGAACTCACTATTGTGGCATAAGATCCTCTTTTTCATAGGACAAAGTGTTGACTCATAATTTTTCATACTCTTTTTACTATGAAGGAGTTGAATTCTTGAGTTGTTTTTCACTTCTTCATTCCCGCTTCATTGGGAGACAATTCATACATTGTTCAATGGAAAACATAAAAATAGTTTGAAAAATTAAAGTAATACCTTCCCAATGTTTAAAGCACAGTTGAATTTATTAGTGGAATTTTGGGGTTGTTCCTATTTTAAATCTCTGATACAGGTGATGGGAGAAAAATGAGGAAACGATGGATGTTCAAACTACCTACATAGGGCTAGAATGAATATACTCTCAGAATTTTATAAACTTATCGATTCTTTGGACGTGGCCAAAGCGAGGCTGAGATAGACTTACCACCCACCTCATCTCCAAACATGCCTTTTTTATTAAGATGTAGGAATTAACACAAAAAATAATTTGAGCTCCCCAAACATAAAATGGTATTCAAGACACAAACTTAGTGTTAGGGTGAAGTTCCACAGCAAGTGAAAAATCAGGACATGTCTAGGTGAAATGGGGATGGTACCGAAATCAACAATTTTTCTGAACTACTTCTACTTAAATGTAAAAATTATGGTTCATTAAAAAACTGAGAGTAACTAAGTTCGTTTAAACATTGGTTTGACTGCCCTAGCATTATCGATTTCTGAGCTAAAAAAAGGGTAAACTTTTTTTAAAATGCATTCTCATAAATGATGAAAGTTGATTGAGTACATAGAAAATCTTACCATTATAAACAACTGATTCTATAGATACGGCTGCATCATTGAAATCATCCGTTGATGAGATTTCAAAAGTTATCACACGAAAGTCTTTACATTTTATCACAAGGTTTCCACCAGGTACATCTTTGGTCACTTTCCTTTCTACTACATCTATATTTTGTTGCAACAGCTGAAATATCAGAGAGAAAATGTAGGTAAGTTACTTCCAGCAAATACATCGGGTGAGTACATATCTATGGTCAAACTTGAAAAAACAGGTAAACAGGGGTGCAATAAATGCCCCAATCACGATCCTTGACGGCTTCCACTTATATCTCCACTTACCTATATCTTACACAAATGTCTTTATTTTCTGATTCCCTAGAACTGTTTTTACTCTAGAGTTGTTGAATTTCCTGACATTCAAATAAGTCTTTTACTTCGATTTATTTCATTTTAATAATGCTCACTTCTGTGAAACGCTGCTCGCGAAATCCATGACTTCTCTCGGTCGCGCAACTAAAATCCCTGACTGTTCAGGTTTTCTAGACTGCCAAAATCTCTGATAGGATTGGAACGAATATGAGTAAAAAGTGATGCAAATTTCTAAGATGATACTTAGCCTGTTTTTTTTTTTTCTTCTTCATTTTTAGAATACTCCAGAAAAAGGAGCCGATTGCATATTTTACTTTGAAATCTGGCATTTAGCTGAATAAATTAGACAGTTGCCTAGGAGGCAATCACCCAACAGTTTGGAAATTTTTGCGCCCCTGCAAGCTACTCCTGATGTTTTTTTTTTTTTTTTTTTTTTTTTTTTTTTTTAATGTATTTCTCTGACCTAGGCCCCTTGGGTGCCACAAAAAAAAATTTTGAACAAAATCTGTTCATATTTAATGAAAGCACATGGACAGTAAGGGCTACGAAAACTTTAAAAATAATAGACAAATTACCCATAATTCTTCTACGCCTTCTTTCCGTGATGAAAAAATTAACTGATGGCCGGTGTTGCAAAGAGTACCTTCCTGAGGGCTTTTATACGGAGGTCCGTGCATCGTGACGCCATCCAGCTGGGGGGTGAGAACAAGATGTGCCACATCCATAATGCAGAATTTCGGAAGCAAACACTTTGTACTAGGGCAGATTTATTTTAAAAACTTGGTACAGAATTGGTTTTAAACAGAATAACCAAGGATTCCGTCAATTTAACAGCAACAGCTTGTTCATGAGAGGGAGTGTCACGAACTAAACAATGCACTTAACTCCCTTTAAAGTCTAAAAAAATTCATTTATGTAAAACCTCATGGAGTAGTTGAAATAATTTGTGAAATTCTGGATGGTATGCAGTTTTGCTATGGGAAAATAGCGACGTAGCACAAAAAAATACCGAGGCTGTTGCTGTTATCAAAATCACGAACAGTCACTGAGAGGCATTCTACGACAGCGGTGAATTTTACCTTCGAATAATTTTTAACTTCGGAATAAATGAATCACGGAGACATTTCTAAAATGCTGGAGGAATAGGGAGTATTCAAATTATGTACATACTCTCTAAATAAGAGAGAAGAATGCGGCACTAATTTACACATTACAAAGAAGATAGGTTAACTCGTAATCAATTTTTGATTTGTTTATCCTGCAGATAACAGTATTTTAGTACTGCATAGTCTCGGTAGAGCGCTCTAGCCGTTCCACGGTTTGTAGGGCGGGAACTTGGTCGAATTATGAATCGGCGCAACTATTATCCGCGGCGAGCGATCCTTTCGACGGTGCAAGTCGGCAATCACATAACTCGTTTGCGGTGTCTGAAAATCTCCGCAACTATGTTATTTTTTTAAAGGAGAACAAATGAACATGATTCCTTGAAGTTTTTGCAGAATTTTCCTCGCACATAGAAGAAAAATCACGGTAGTTTTAAAGAATTGCCGTTGAATAGTTTTCCGTTTAAAAAATAAAGTATGACAGGAAGTCTGCGACGTCGCAAACCGAGTTATGTGATTGCCGACTTTCACCGTCGTTATGTATATTGACGATGAAAGTCCCAAACTACATATCTTGGTTTGCGACGTTGCAGACTTCCCGGCATACTATATTTTCAAATTGAAAATTACTCAACGTCAATTCTTCATAACTTTTGAAATTTTTCTTCCGCTGGAACGCAAAAATTTTTCGAGAATTTCAAGGAATGAAAATGATTTGTTCTTTAAAAACATGAAATGAGTGAGAAGATTTTTACCACAAACGAGGTACGTGAATTGGAAATTTCACCAGCATGTGCTCCAATATATCTTTTTGATCCAAAGACCAAAAAATGAACATTTTATTTGGCAGGTTGCTTTGTATTCTGTTGATATTTATTTATGTATGTATGGTTGGTTGGTAGATACGTTTATTTGGTGCTTTTAACAATTGAGCCATTAACACCTTAGAGGAGAGATCAATATGTATATAAGAAACTCCGATTACATGATATATGTAGGAATTTTTGCTTTGTATTCCGTCGATGTAAAATACGCTGTGAGATAACTGAAGCAAATGTTTGCGGAACTATGGACAGTGATTGTGAAGTGTAAAATTGAAATTTTGAAACCAAAGATGGTTTTAGGAATTGAGCTCACTCGTTTAATTGGGAAGGACTAATTTTATCTCGAGATTTCACACCTGCAATTCAGTATTTTGTTGTTCGTAAGTAGGACTTGATCCAGGGTCGGACTGGGTCGCATCTAAGGGCGTAGACCCGTGGCTGGTTAAAGGGGCGTAATGTGATATTTCCTGGTAGGGCATTCCCTACGTGGAGAGGGGTTCTGAAAATGTTGGCAAATCAGCACAAGTCTTCGCTATTTTCAGGTTCAAAGTTTATTGATCGGACGGAGTAAAAATTGCAAAATTGAAAGTAAAGCACAGCATTGAAAGCTCACGCTTCGCGTCAACGCGCCTTCAATTTTTCAAATGCAGCACGGACGTCCATCAAGTACGAATAGTTGTATCTCTGCGCCGTCGTAAGCACGCATCCTTTCCCTTCCTCTTTTTCTATATTGTGTTTGTTTCCGTTTGTCTTATTCGTGATGGTGCTTCAAGCACTACGTGAGTTATACAGCCGAAGGTAGGAGAGATGTCTTCAGGCCTTTTTTTAACTTTTCTCCCGAATCAGAGCGACGCTTTATTGACAGCATAAAGCAGAGAATTGAGAGCTCGCGGTTCGCGTCATTGCGCCTTCAATTTTTCAGATGCAGCACGGACGTCCATCAAGTACGAATAGTTGTATCTCTGCGCCGTCGTTAACGCGCATCCTTTCCCTCGCTTTATTACCATATTGTGTTTGTTTGCGTTTGTCCTATTTGTGCTATTGCTTCAAACTAGAGCAAAGCACTGCGAGTTCACAACTAACGGCATCGCGTCTTACATTTTTCATATGCAATGTGGACATCCATCTTGCGCGAATAGTTGTATCGCGTTTACATTTTAGATGTCTCTTACTTTTGAATTTCGAGATAAATTAAGGTTAAGTTTGCCCAAGTTATGCTATGGTATGTCCAAATCAACAGTCATATTTGAAAAGGAGGACATATGTTTAAAGGTCTCTTAAGAGGTCTATAAAGGATGCGTATGTCTAAAAATCGAACCGACCATCGCTTCTAAGGGAGTTACACATAGCGAATGAAGGAGGGGGATGATAAAGCACCCGTATGTCGAGAAGAAGGCGAAAATTTCACAGAAAATTGTTTACGCTTCAGAAAGTAGTTTTTGGACCTCTGTTCACCACTATCATGCGTTAAAGCACCTTTCTTTACTCCTAACTCTCTCCTCTTCCGTTCATTTGAGAAATTTTTCTCACATATTCTCGGTCGTAATTTTTTTTTCTTCTTATTTTGCTATCTGTAAGAGGGGCGAGTTTTCGGCGCGGAAAGGGGGCGTATCTGCCAATGGCAGATTGGCCTTATGGCCAGCCTGACTTGATCCAGCCACCGTTCTAATCCAAACGCATCGTCAATGAAGATTTTGTGTTTTGGCAGCACCGAGGAGAGCTGACCGCTGACCTCTCATCCGTGCTCGAGTGATTCTGCAATAGGTCAACAAGTTTTGTGACTGCCACTGACCGCCGAGCCTAAAAAACGCATATGCTTAAAATTAATCTATCAGTCTTAAAATTTGCAGCTGTCTCAAGCAGTGGCGTGGCGTGCTTTACGATATATTGATTAATCTGTGCTTAATCTGTGAAATGTGGGCTACGTCTATTTTTACTTAAATGTATATCACAAAAAAATTCCCAGGCACAATTTTCGACTATTTCTCAAGATTTTTGGAAAAGTGCTTTTCAATGGTCGTTGACGGTAAGGTAAAAGGAAAATTGCTAAAGGAGACGCATTGAAAAGTGTTAAAAATCTAGAGCACACTTCACGGCGCATACAGTCGATCGAGTAAATCAGAGAGGTCGGACCTAAAGCTTTTAACTAAAACTGCAAATTTTGATGTTTCATTCTTTACATTTTAAATTTTAAAGGGTTCTAGGGAACCAATAGACTCACTTTAAAAACCTCAAAGTTTTGTATGAACGGAGTTATAAGCTTTTAAAGTTTCCAAATTTTGCCCGACCTTTCCCATTGACTCAATCCACTGTGTGGCGTTTAAACCCATTCGTTCAAGGATCAAAAAAATGAGGGCAATAACATCTCTGAGCAGTTATTATTGAACTTGTGTTTTTGTTCGTCTCTTAAAGTCATAAAAAGAGGGAGGGCGTTAAAAAAACTTGAAACCGGTTTTGTGGAATCCAAACATTTGTTCATCAGGCAATGTCTCGATCAAAAGAGTGAGAGTGACGCTCCTCCGGGATTAATTTGGAAATGGAGATCCGAATGTGGTCCGAACAGACACCGAAGGACGAGGAGAGTTTCATCACACCGGCGCAACTTGGGTCGGATCTGGACATGAGTGGGTGAAGCTTTTTTGTACGGTGGGATATTGATTAAAACGATTCTTATAAAATGGACTGCATTTTGCAATTAGGAACTACAATTTCTGGCTCATTTATAAAAAAACATGTGTGCTATGAGTTTCCCTATGCAGATAGTTGTTTTTAGGAATGAGCCACTTTTAGTTCCTTATTGCAAAATGTAGTCCAAATGTGACTATATAGGAGGAAAATTAATAGTGGACAGGAAAGAGAGGTCTTTCAAAGTTTGGTCGAAAATTCAGAATTTATGGGTCTCTGACGATATAGATACTGTTGAGAGGCTCTCTAGTATGGATGAGAAAAATTTACACACGCTACCTGAATGAATTGGACTACGTTTAGCAATTTGGAACTATAAATTTTAGCCCGGTTTAAAAACAACGTATGTGCCNACTTGTATCAACGAAATATTTTGTATAATCTCAACTATTTAACAGTGAACGTTGAATATTCTGTTGGCTCAGGCCAAAAAAAAAACCTATACCTGATCCGTAAATCTGCAACGTCACAAAAAGGGGTACGTACTTTTTAAATTTTGCTGGCGAATCATAAACTGAGCTATTTTACAAATAATTTCCAAATTTTATCATCAAAAAAGTTAAAAAAAGAAAAAAATAAAAACCTCTTTAGGGAGCAGGAAGCTTAAAAAGACGCATAATTCTAACGCAGACTGTGAAGTTAGAAGTTTATTTCAGCGACTTTCCCGACGCGCTCATCGTGATTTATAAGGCAATCTCTGTAAAAAACCAACTCTTCCTTTTGCCCATTTCGAAGTTTGCAAGAAGCTCATTTACCAGAAAGAGATCCAATTTAAGATGGGGCGATTGTCTCCCCCTAAATGCCACCCGCGTCTATTTCCCATGGAGGCGGATCGATCTTAATTCCACTTCAAATCCACAAACCACCGAGGCTCGTTCACTGTGCGATGGTTTCTCTCACGACCATAGTAGCACCAACGCAACCCACTGTCCTGGATGCCATTACACAACCCCGTGACCGTCGACGGCTAGACTCCGGTATCCAGTTCACGAATCAAACCAGTCTTCCACTGGATGCTGGGAGCCGCGTCGGCACCGGTTTATCCAACCGCTTGTCTCCGCGCGTGGGCGTTCAACCCCCTCCCCCGAATTTACAGAATTTGATAATGTAAACAATTGGATACGTGTTGTGCGGTGAGGGTGCATTGATAAGAAGCGTGGATGGTTGAAGCGGAAGCCGGAGGTGCAGAGAATTTGACAGGTGAATTTCTTGGATTTTTTAAGTGCGCATTGAATACAACTGGGAACATTCTTGTGTGAGAATATATTTTCTAGGCAGTTCCTACTTGCGTTGAAAAAAATACTCGTTGCTTTCAGATTGAGACAAATTGGATCGCATATAACGGAAATGGGCTAAAATTTCAAAAACAGCAGCACGTGACAATAGTGATACACTGGGAAAAAAAACACATTGGATCTAGAGTCCAGACTCTTAAAAACATCGACAAGAAAAAGTACTCTTGATTCAATCAGAATCTAGCTTAAATCAAGAACCACGCCTCTCAATTTAAGCGGATTTCGTTTTGATTCAAGTGAAAAATCCGATTGAATCAAGAGTTTTTTTTCTTGTCAATGTTTTCAATAGTCTGGACTCTAGATCCAATGTATTTTTGT